TGATCGAGGCACGAGCATGAAAATTGTAAATGCAAGGCCGAGGGCAATTGCAGCGAGAGTGCGCTTTAGGGGAGTCCGCAGTAAATGTCGGCATCCCAGCACGAGGCAGTCAATCGAGCACATTTTTATGTAGTTTATAAGTGGTTCAGACAGGTGTTTGTCTTCATGGTAGTGACGTATTGGTGCAGTAGAGCGATAGAAGGAAAAGGAAAAAGAGAATAATATGTATTATGGACGTCTAGGACAAATTATTCTGGCACTAGAACTGCATCATAAACCGGGGGCCAACATATGGGGCACCATATGGGCTGCAGTATAGATTTCCGCGTGCCTCGCTCTGTCAGAGTAGGTTACTAGCCAAAAATGAGACCAATCCTTTGAGAATGCAACTGGACTCTGTGACTTGGCATGCAATGAAAAGAGCCTAATAATTTCGCCAATTTGTTTGCCAATATTGTGTCTTTGTCTTAGATTTAAAGATCCTTGCAAGGTTGTAAAGACAAATTACAGTACGTAATGAAGTGGATCTTCACTTCTGCTTCACAATTCCTCCAGTCCTGGAAAAGGTGCTCGTTTACGACTCGTATCTTGCATGCGGCGACAAATTCGATACTGACAGCGATCTTTCGGCGGTTATACCCACAGAGAGATCTTACTGATCCTTGTTACGTATCTAATGTGATAATCTTTCCAGCGAGAAATAACGGCCGCATGGGCCCTCACCGACCCGATTTTGCCCGCCCGCACTACGGTGATCTCGCCTTCATGGCATTTCTGTGCTGTACGATAACGAAGTACCTTCAGGTACCTTTTCAGGCTGTATCGCGAATCCTATTTGAATTGTTTATAGTCTAGAAATCATTTTTACTACTGTAGGAAATCCCGCAGAGCCTGTTATTCCTGAGAGGCAGATACATCGCCAATCCTTCAACCCTCACTGTGTAGCAATTCTGCCACCGCGTTCCAATTTTGGCCACGATCCATTTCTGGCCACCGTTCCAATCTTGGCCACGATCCATTTCTGGCCACCGTTCCATTTTTGGGCCACATTCCATTTTTGGCCACGTTCCATTTCTGCCACCGCGTTTCTTCTCACGATGGTGGTGCCAGATGATTGGACACAGTTCAGACAGTGAATATGAACCTCTCGCCGTCCCCATCGCGAGGTCTTACCCCATTACGACTGTACAATTTTTTGTCACAGGTGGGTTCTTCACGCGCCTTTGGGGCTCAGAAGTTGCCCGGTGCACCCAGCGCGACCCCCCGCAGCGGCAGCCGGAGATTGCGACGAACCTGAATACAACACGCATGAGTGGTGACTGCATTGCTGAAGAGAACTGTAAGTGATCTAGTTGGTATGCTGATATGGTCAATGTGCTAATTGATCGTTTCGTCTCAAGCGTACACTCTGCGGACTCCATGAATGGGTAGGCTATAACACCTCCAACTGGTTCAATCCTTGCCGACTCGGATCGTACAACAGGACGCCCCTCATATTCCCGTCACTCGAGTCGAATGCGAAGCAAGCAAGTGTCTTGTCTGCTCGGGTCCCCTGTACCGATGCGATCGCATGCTGTCTATCACTTCCACGGGACTACTGGTGGCATCGATGATGAGTCTAAAGTTCAGATCGCCGACCTTGGCCCTTCTCTCAGTCGACTCTGTGCATCAGGCCATGTGCTGATGTGTCTACCCGATACAAAGCCCAAGCCACAATGGGCTTATACCACCGTGTGTCTCGGCATTCGAACACCGTGAAAGAATAGCCTCCTTGTGGATTGAATTTCTGGGGTCCAAGGGGTGATCCTCACTGTCCTCGGTTCGCATCTCGCGTCCTTTCAGTCCTGGAACTCCAAAAGACCCGAGGAATGCTGGTGGTTTTGTCTTGCTTCATAGCAGGTGAGTCTTACCTTCGCAGACGGCCAGATTGTTAGTCCAAGTCTGTGTGCAAGGAAAAGGTGAGGCAAAAGTCCCGTCATTTCGAGCCCACAGATTAACATTACCATATCAGCTACGAATCGAGAAAAGGAGACCATCTAGTCCCGAGTCACAGCCGAGCCGACTCAAGAGCCACGAGCTACGAATCACCGACCTTTACTGTTCTCCCTGATCCTACTCCGCGTTGCTGAGCCATTCGACGTATTCGAGCGGGTGGAGACGAACGAGCGGAAACGAACCAATTGAACATGCACGTCGCTGCATCAAGGGCTCTGCCAGAAATGTTGTGGTGTCTTTGGACAGATTTTGGTATACTTGATGCCCAGGCACGCTTTTCTACCCAAGCCGGAGCAACACGTGCAAAGACCATTCATCCTGGAAGTCACTGCAGCTGCAGGTTAGTCAAGCTGACCACTTGTGTTCTTTGTCCATTGACGTTGTTTTCTAACGTATCCCGCGCAAGCAGCTCTTACTAGGAATGGCCGGATTCTCTACGTCCCCTACGTCGAATGTCCTGTATTATTAACTATTTGTTAGACACACCGCGCTCTGGACGACATGTGGCATATCACTGTTTGGATAGATTCACTGAAGGTGGCATTGATGTCCCTAACAAAACCACCCAGAGCCATCCTGCTGTGCGACCTCTTTGACTATCTACGACAACCTATGCTGAAGCTTCTACCTCTAATCAGCGTTCATGTGATTGCGTTCGGGGGGAATGGAATAGGGGCATGTATGCGGCTCCAAGCCAAGTAGATCACACCACAAGAGTCCGTCGTAAATGTTGGTGGAGTCGTCTTTACCAGATCTGGTCAAGATGGCGCTTGCTAGACACCGATCGGGCTGCAACCATGTTCTCTGGGCAGCAGAGTATGCTTGATCGCATGGACTCGGGTACTACGCCCAAAAAGCAGTGATCGCCAATTTGAGTGCAGTGTGGTTGCTACATGGGAGATGGGCTCGCAATATAAATCGTAGTTGCTGGCGGGGATTACTCACTCTCTCATTTGTAGAAGGAGCCGATCGGATATTCTTAAGCCAAAGAAGCCTAAATTGGTTGTATTTGTTGCGAATCCACTTTGACTATCGCGACCGTTCTAGGATGTAGGCATTCTACAGTGGAGTAGATTGAGTGACTTGCAAGCCGCCTGAAGCGATAAATTTGACTACGCAAGGAACAGTCTATCGCATCACGATGTTTAGTTGAGACAACAAATGGTATTTCGAGCGGCTCCTCTTCAAATGCTTCTACACCTGGTAGGTCTGATCTTGAGCGTATTGCCTGATTGTAGCTGAACCGAGGGGAATCCAGTGTTTGCATTCGACCAGCTCAACCAAATTGGAGGCTGTATGCGGACTTAACTGAATGATCAGCTGGGGACAAGAAATGACGCGAATTGAAACAATGAAACTGATATCTCTGTCATGTGGATGAGATGGCAAGAAAGGGCTCGCGCTAAGGCCGTGAGACGTTGACCACCACTCACCTTCACCGCCCGGCCATATACCACCACAACACACATCAACACTGTTGAAATATCCCGGTTGCTGAGATAATGAGGCTGGGATCACGTGCATACATATATACCTGTTCACCAGCCTACTTGTATCTTAGACAACATGCAACAATAACACACAATCAAGTCCCCTCAATAACATGATCACTGAAGCATCACTTATCAATCAACAAACACCTTCGTCAACGTTTATCAACGTTCATCGACGTTCATCCAACGCTCATCAACGCTCATCAACGTTCACCAATGTTCATCAACATTCGTCAACGTTCATCAACGACCATCACCGTTCATTAATGACCATCAACGCTCATCAACGCTCGTCAACACATCTGCGACGCACCAAAATACTCACCATTTCGTTCGCTCTACGCCCTGATGGCAGATGCATCCTATTGCGGCGGGAAGACTAGCCGACCGCAAACCATGAAGACAGGAGGGTTGGGAACACGGCGGGCGATAACGAAAATTGAATCTTGAATTTACGATTCTGATATTGGTTTACTTCTATCTAGGGCTCATTTTATTTCTCCAATGATGATCCTTCGAAATACGAAATACATCATCAAGATGTTGCGCAGATCTTTGCTTCTTCGAGTACTCTTGAATACTCGAATACTGGTCCCTAGCACCGCGAAGAGGTGCCTGCACATCGCTAGAGGCCTTGTTAACGCAGCAATCCCCTACGAAGCACATTTGTTGACGCAGAGCTCGTCCTGCGAAGCACATTTTTACACTCGCGGGGCTCAGGGCAGCGAGGGAGCACCTTTTACAACCACAGGGCTCATTGGCTGTGAGGTAGCGCAAGTCTTACATCGCTGGGCTCGTGGCAGCGACAGCCGTGGTCACGGAAGCTCTGAAGTCCTTGGTTTCGCAGCACCCCCCCTGCGAGGATTATTGTTGACGCAGACCCATCCTGCGAGACACAGTTGATAACGCAGAGCTTGTCCTGCGAGGAGCGCAAATCTTACATCGCTAGGCTCATTGTAGCGACAGCCGTGGCCACGGAGAATCCCAAGCCTGCAGATTGAAATCTGCAGACAAGAGAGGCACATTAGGATGCATCATAGTGTGAGGACAAGTCCTAATTTTTCTGGGCTGATAATCTGGCGCCTTTCATGCCACTTGAGCTTCGTCTCTTCATAAAGACCACTTGCGTACATATTCGTGACTGTCACCAGCTCGTTGATGGGCGTTCAGATGTTTAAACAAAGTTGAAAAAGTGTTTAAAAGAATTGGTCAACTAAGTCACACCTCGATTGTACCCGTGGTTTGCCCTCTTCGCCAAGAAGCACCCTCTCCTTCGTAGAAATCTCTGATTTCTGCGGTGAGTATTTTTTTTAAAACCTTTTGCGAAAGAATACATAGCACGAAAAATATGGTTCCATGGATCTTTAACCCTTCCGCCAATAAATTGCACATTGTCCTTGACCCCCGACTCAAATATTACTCCTTCCCCTTTACAAATTATTGCCAGTTTACTCTCTGACAGCATACATATAACCATTATTTCAAATTTCTTTCAATCGATATCCATTCGGAATGCCAACCCGCGTGACCAAGGCCCCTACCCTTTGGCCAGGCAAATACTCTGCCATGCTCGCCAAAACTCTTGAAGATGAAGCTAGAGCAGAAAAAAGCGCTCACCATGAAGATGCGATTGAATGTCAATCTGAATCCTCGGGGTCAACTCACACGGAGTGTGAAGGCGCACTGCCTGGCAAGGATGATCAATTTGGAAGCCGTCATGGCAGCAAGCCTCTACGCAAACCCGATCGAGAAACGGAACTGGTCGATTCGTCACCATGCAGACTGTACCAGCCTACAAATCTTGCGAACAACCGGTCAGTAAATATCTTGAACACTATGTATTTCCTTTGTCCACTTCTAATCAACCATGTCTAGATCTACAGGGCAAGTGAAGCCAGGACCTTTCAAAAGTTTATCCAAGAGAGAGGAGCAGATGGAACGATACAGAAAATCGGAAAGCAAGGTTACTAAACGACTAATCAAGAAAGGATTGGCTAGGGATATCGAAATTCTGAAGAGCGAGGTGGAGGATCTTAAACAAATGGTTATCGCTCAGCAGCCATCCCTGTCTGAGCGACGCAAGAGAAAGCGAGTCTCTTTCCAAGACGATGTCAGCTAAACAAAATAGGCAAGCCGAGGATCTTTGATGGAATGAAATATATCTCTTTTCTTCATGATTGCAACAGTGAGCATCTTTGAACAGCATGTTTTGCAATATGGTCTTTCATTTTGGTCACTCATTGCCTAAAGACTGATCTTGTCGTCTGACTTGTTCCACAAGCTGCCGTGCGGGATTTAAATTGTAATTTATAACACAGACACACGAAAACTTAGTTGTCAAACTCCAGTCCGATTAATATTCCAGTTGCTCTCCCATCCAAGAGACCAAGGTGCCAAAGTTGGCGCCAGCGACAAGGAAGATTCCATGTACAGGTGCCAAAGCTGCCGCGAGACCAAGCTTTGACAGCCAAGAATTTTCCGCGCCGCGGCCAATCGTGTGAAGTGCGATCGCATCCAAGTGCCTCTATGCAGTGGAATCAGAATGATATAGCGACCAACAAACAAGGCCAGCCCGAGACTACAACTGTTTCTCTCACAGTTAGTCGGTATATGGCCGGAGGCACTTCGATCAGATCTTCTTGGTTAACTCAGCCTGTGTCTTCTTGGTTATCTCAGCCTGTGAGTAAGCGGCAAGAGCTCACGACCAGTCTTCCCAATTTGGAGGTTGTTACTAACACACTGCTCTCAGATTGGTAAAACGATTGATTGAATGTTGCCGGGGGAAGATCGATACCATCTTCAGTAAGTTCAAGCTACAAATTTAGGAGCGCGCCGACTAATCGACGGGTTCGAACAACAGTCTTACAAGTTCTATACCCACTTCTCGGAGTTCCAATGACAAATATCCCTTTCCGCGCACAAAATCCTTTTCTCCAAGCCATACAGCGACATCTCGAATTCGATATTTCAATTCGTTCACAAGTGGCTCTTGGAGGAGTCTCTCATGGTTGGGTAGGCATGCCCGGAGGAACTGGAGCTAAACAGGCTTTTCAGATTCTTGGTGGAACATCGGGACAAGATACGGTGTAGCTCTTGCCGTCAAGCCGCTACTACCATCCAAAAATGGCAAAGATTGGTTTCCGGCATCCGACACGCTGCTGTCCACCGTCTTTCACAGGATCGTGAATCTCTCCTCCGCATGACCCGCGTCGCCATTGAATTCTCTCTCTGTATCGGTGGACTTTCGAGCGAGGAGAAGCTTCGCCGTCTATTGAAGTTCTTGGAAGATAGACTCCCAAATTCAGAACGCCGTCGAACGCAGTCAAGAGCACCAAGCTTCTTTGCCAAGACTGCGCCTCGAAGGTCTGAAAGACCGATTTCTGTTGCTGCCGAAACACTCCCAGAAAGTTCTTCACCAGATTGAAGCAATGTACAATTTGGAAGTGGAATGGTTCCTGCAAGCTGTATTCAGATGAACTCTACTTACTGGTTAAAATCTCTTGATGACAAAATACAAAGTGCTGTTGACGTGCATCTAGCAATATGTAGATGTGAAATGATCCGTTGAGTGGTCAGAAATACTGCGCTTGAATACGGATCGACCAGTGGAATCCCAGCGGCGGCTCAAGGGACAGCGGATCATGGAGATTTGGGTTTGGAGCCCAGAGAAGAAATCAGAATGATCTGTTAAAGTCCAGCACAGACCGCGTGACGCCAGCATCGCTTCGGTACCGGCCTTAAAGCACACGGTCGTCATCCTGAAAGTGGGACTACGTGCATTGTGTCTGTACCGCCAGGAAGCTGAGATACCGGCGAACAGAGCGTACAATTTAGCAGTATTTCATCGGCTGGAGCGCTACATTGCGGTGTCGAAGGAACAGTGGCCAACTATCTTGATGAACTAGTCCTGGTGCATGTTACTATAATAAAGGCTGTGATCAGCAATGAACCCTCAGTATGAGAGATATAACCAAGGTTTTATATCATTCCATGTATCCGTATGAAAAGGAGCAATCGCCATCTTTAAAAGTAAAAAAATAAAGAGGAAGTTCCAAAGTCAAAGGTAAGGATTCGAGCATGATGGCGGTGCCCTTGGAACAGGTCCGCCTACACATAACATCCTTGTCATGCAAAACCAGGAGGATTTTGTCAAAGTGCGATGCGGCCTGCAAAATACTGCGGACAGCGTATAAGGATTAACGATACTATCTGTGTTCCCATAGGGATACAGGAGATGGTAGCAAGGGGGCTCTGGAAAATGGAGAAAAGATCTGGATGCTTGTTGGCTCAAGATAACACGCCCGCTTGGATTTGATTGGATCGATGGTCGAAAGCAGAGTAGTCTTCAGAGTGAAGCGTGATTTGTTTCCGACCCACGCCTGAGTCACGAGGAAATAAACTTCGCGCAGACCGTGGGATCATGAGCGGGCCCGTCGATTAGTAGCCGAATCCCGGATCAAATCGATTTGATGAACCATGGAAACGCTCGCTCGGTGAGAGAATGCGGCTTTCATAAGGACTCAAGGTTGAACTTAATCGAAAGCTATCTATAGGCTTCTGCTCCAATTGTTTGTTGGATTGGCGTGAATAAATCTGTCCCAGAGTCCGAAAATTCAGAGGGAAAATCGAGGTACTTTCTCCAAGGTCTCACGCTGGCGAAATATAGTATATTGTAGAAGGAAACAACCTTATTCGTAAATTATCTCGGTCGCCAGATTAATGGTTAAGATGCGCTGGGTGCTTGAAATAAACTTTGTGGGCCGGCCGGGACCAATCGGTTTCTCGGTCTCTAGTGCACAAACCGGAGACTTTGTTTAGATCTACCATCTGCCCTTACATAATTGGCGTTGATTTCAAAAAGCTATCTGCTGGAGATGGCCGACTGGCGATCGAATTTGGCAGATGGGGAGGATGTGTCGCGCTCAAAGAGAGTATACTTTATACGAGGAAGGTTTATGCAGGACAGAAGACATAGCTTCTAGAACGTTCTACAGACCAGATAGAGAAAGCAGCAGCTTCCCACTCGACGGATTACCAATCACTCTCTTGCGAGGGCAACTAAACCACGGATCGGATCTCTGTTGCCAAAAGCTGTGTGTCATTCCAAATACCTCGTCTGCCCCAACCGACCTCCCAAGCAACAAAGACCTGTTCCATCCGTACGCTGACGCCCCTCCAAGTCTAGGCTTGCTGGACCTGTTTGAATCCTTCCAAATTCTTCTCCGGGCCGCAATTAGAACCTCCATGATCTACTGTCCCGTGGGTCATCGCTGAAATTTTCATCACAGGACCGTACCAGCGTCCGTCCACATTCGTAGGCGGTGTTTGATTGGTGCTACTGGTGTTTCTTGTGTCCAGATTCTCATCAGAGTGTGATAGTAGCGTTGCATATCGCGAGGTGGGCGACGATCGACGAGGAACCATCTCATGAGCCATGGTAGCTGAAATGACTCACTTAGTTGTCCTGGAAACTGGGCTCGGGTTCCTATTCTGGGCTTTCCAACAAGGTCTAGACTTTTTGATTCTCCGTTAAAGAATACAACCAATACCCTGAATTTGGGAGTATGTTCATAGTATCTGTACCGACAGGTAGGATAAGTATTAGTAGAGGCAACATCAGTTGGCCGCGAGCAACAGAAAATAAGTACCGTTCGAGCAGTGCGGGGCTAGGAGATAGACAAAATTCTAGTGGGATCAATGGGAGGCACTCCTTGAGGCCAACAACCGGTACAATCAAACGTGACTGTCTGCCACAAAGTGTCCAACCCATTATTCGGCATCTGTTGAAGCACTTCAACCCTCATGAAAGAGACGGTGACCGTGGCTAGTGACGATGGTCAAAACGGGCAGAGTAGTCTGCCACCGCGTTGAGCGATTTAATTACAAATTCAATGATATGTGAGAATCATATTCTTGCCGTATCACTGTCTTTTCAACAGTTGATGAAGTGGTTCACCATACTCAACGCAGGTTTTTGAAAGCAATGAATCCAGGTCGAAACTTGAGTCTGTAGGCCACAAAGTCTCCAAACACCATTTCAACATTGTTCAAATGTCTTCAACGCCAATAACGAGACAGTAATTCTCGCTACCATCTGCGCAACTGGTTCCTTGGTCGAGACGTAGCCGAAAAAATATAAAAGGAGCCGGATTCCCAGCCCAAAAAAATCAGGACTTCCGTCCTCACACTCCGATGTGTCATGGTGCCCTCTCGTGCCTACGGGCTTGAGAGCTTCCATGACCACGGCTGTTGCTGCCACGAGCCCAGCGATGTAAGACTGTGCTCCCTCGCTGCCACGAGCCCCGCGAGTGTAAGAAGGTGCTTCGCAGGATAGGTCTGCGTCAACAACAACCCTCGCAGGATAGGCTCTGCGTCAACAACTGTGTCTCGCAGGATAGGCTCTGCGTCAACAACTGTGTCTTGCAGGATAGGCTCTGCGTCAACAACTGTGTCTTGCAGGATAGGCTCTGCGTCAACAACTGTGTCTTGCAGGATAGGCTCTGCGTTATCAACTGTGTCTCGCAGGATAGGCTCTGCGTCAACAACTGTGTCTCGCAGGATAGGCTCTGCGTCAACAACTGTGTCTTGCAGGATAGGCTCTGCGTCAACAACTGTGTCTCGCAGGATAGGCTCTGCGTCAACAACTGTGTCTTGCAGGATAGGCTCTGCGTCAACAACTGTGTCTCGCAGGATAGGCTCTGCGTCAACAACTGTGTCTCGCAGGATAGGCTCTGCGTCAACAATAATCCTCGCAGGGGGGTGCTGCGAAACCAAGGACTTCAGAGCTTCCGTGACTACGGCTGTCGCTGCCACGAGCCCAGCGATGTAAGACTTGCGCTCCCTCACAGCCAATGAGCCCTGTGACTGTAAAAATGTGCTCAGTCATGGCAAGACTTGGCTCGCCAAGGACTTGCCATCGCTCCCCAGCGATGTGCAGGCACCTCTCCGTGGTGCTGGGGACTAGTATTCGAGTAGCTCAAGGGCATTCGAAGAAGCAAAGACCTGTACAACATCTTCATCTTCTTCGTATTCCGAAGTATCATCTTTGGAGAGATAGAGTGAGCGCTAGATAGATGCCTATCAATCACCAGAATCGTAAATTCACGACTGAATCTTCTTCGCTATCGAGCGCCGTATTCCCCACCCTCCTGTCTTGATAGTTTGCGGTATGCTAGTTCATCCGCCGCAATAAAATCCATCTGCGATCAGAGCGCAGAGCGAATAGAGACTTGAGTGTTTGGGTGCGTCGCGGATGTGTTGATGAGCGTTGATTAACGTTGATGAACGTCGATGATCGTTGATGAACATTGGTGAATGTTGATGATCGTTGATGGTCGTTAATGAACGTTGATGAACATTAATCGTTGACGAGGGTGTTGATGTGGTACACGGCCGGGCGGTGAAGTTGAGTGGTCAACGTCTCACGGCCTTAGCGCGAGCCTTTTCTTGGCTCTTCCATGCTTCCTGATTTCGATCAACACCTTCTTCCACTTCCGCCTCGTTTTTTCTTGATGGGCCTTTTCGCTCAATTTATATTCTTTATACTTCATGTTTTTGACCTGGGTGGAATTGATGATACCGGTGATCTGTATATGACGGCGCGAATTGTCATATCTAGCATGGCGTGCCCCCATAATAGCCTGGGTAGAATCGAATTCCCGCTGTAGCTGGAGAGCCAACATAGCCTGCGCTTCAGCACCCTTTGCAAGCTTTGCTAGCGCATCTTTGAAACGCTGAGTAGTAGGATCGTATTGATTAAGACGATGGCTGATTCTTCGAATTCTCTCAGCTGTTTTTGGAGTGCTGAATTCGGTGTTTTGAGAGCCAGTTGACGGAGTATCCTGCCGGGGTAAATTGTCATGATATGGATCGTACGACTCCAATTCATCAGTAATAAGCTTGGAATTAATAGGCCAGAGGCCTGTTAATTTAAATCCAAGCTTAATTGTATGCGGCTGGAAGGCATTTCGTCTGATTTCGCCAATTGAGTATAGGAATTCATCCTTCGAGAATTTGCGGCATCCAGTCATAGTAGCCGCTTCAACAGCCTCACTATGCCAGTGTTTATACACGCTAAATACCCCGACATCAAGAGGCTGTAGTATATGGCTAGTATGGGAGAGTAAGAAGAATAAAATGATATTATTCTTCTCACAAAATTCAACGAATTGACGCGTCAAATGTGATCCAAAACGGTCGCATAAAACAAGCCTCTTTCTACCAATTGTACGACCAATTGTCCATTTGTGGAAGAGCTGAATCCACTGATATGCTAGAGTATCGTTGATATACCCAGTATCAGTTACAGATATATGCTCGTCACCTTCAATCGCGTCAAACCAACGTAGTAATGCCTGCTTAGCACTTAAAATTATAAGCGGTGGGCAGGTAAAACCATCGGCCGAAACAGCCTCTAAAACCGTGACAGATTCACGATTAGTGACAGATCCATTGAATAGCTTCTTTTTTGGGTGCCTAGTAATGATGAATTGATCGCGTCCGACGCCAATTTGAAAGCCAGTTTCGTCAAAATTGTAGATATCTTGTTGGCATATACCATGCTCAGTCACCACACGTTGATAGTCTTGAAACCACCTTTCCACCACAGTTTTATCAAGTGCAGAAGCTCTCTCGACGTCAAGAGCTCGCCGGCGTCGTACATAGTACTCGGGATGCCGTTTCATAAAACGTTGTAGCCAGTGGTCGCCAATTTTTGGTGGTGGAATAGATTCGTCATGGTGGGATTCTTCAAGAATTGAATTGGCGGCAATAGCGATTTGGCGACGGTTTATCGACGCTCCGACCACGTCAAAGTAATCAATATATTCACATAAAGCCTTCTCTTGTGCAGGATTGAGCTTCCTGCCATTAGGTTGTCGTTGAAAAAGCGATTTTCCCCCTTTCCATCGGTGGCGTAGTCGGTTTACAGGAACCGCGAATTCTCGCGCAGTCTTCGCGATATTAGGTTTAGATTGCTCAGTGAGAGATTCGAGAGCTTTAAGAAGCTGATTCTCTATATCTTTATTATTTTTAGGCATGGTTGGTGGGGTGGTTTAGGATCAAAGTGAAAAGGTGGGATTTAGAAAAAATCTACGGTTTGGATGGGATGTACGGTATGGATGGCGGACCCTCGCTATGCGAGGTCCTTCACCCACATGAACAAGATCATCTAAATGAACAATTGTTTTAAATCCTACCACTTTCTCTTGAATTGTTAACCACCCCACCCACCATGCCTAAAAACAACAGAGATATAGAGGATCTGATTCTTAAAGCCATCGACTCTCTCTCTGAGCAATCTAAACCTAATATCTCGAAGACTGCACGAGAATTCGCGGTTCCAATTGGACGACTACGACGCCGGTGGTTAGGTGGAAAATCGCTTTTTCAGCGTCAACCCAACGGTCGGAAACTAAGTCCTGGACAGGAGAAGGCTCTATGTGAATATATCGATTACTTTGACTCCGTGGGTGCATCGATAAATCGTCGTCAAATTGCTATTGCAGCCAATTCAATTCTCGAATACCGATTCGGCTACAAACCCCCCCAGATCAGCGACCAGTGGCTAAAACGTCTCATGAAACGGCATCCCGAGTACCGCTATTCCATGCTCTCCAGACTTTACACTCCAAAAATAAATGTCATTATCAACCCCGCGTTGATAGTCGTGGTAGATATAAATAGTTCGAGTAATGAACTAGATTTGTAATCTGTTTTCCTTGGGTATTTGACTAAAACCAGTAATCACTAAATAAATGTTACTAGAAACTAGGGGTAAATAAACATGAGGTGCCCTTACAAAATATGTATTTCTCTCACTATAATAGTGTCAAGTTACAAGAAACCGTAGAGACACCAATTCGTCGCAGATAAGAGAGAAAATCATTGTTCCGTTTTAAGGTAAATCAAAATACATGAGAATTTTAGCAAATTTAGATGATTCAAGAGCAACTACTACGTCAAAAGGATTGTATTGACTATGACTAGTGTAAGTAACCGTTTCTTATTTTGCTGAACCATCGGGTTATGCTGGAGATTTATGCATTTTTGGGCGGCTTTGGACACTCTTGGACACTTTGGGCAGTCCATGGGCGACACCTATCTCCCAGTCCAAAGTGGGTCCGATCCAAGTCCGCCCATGGGTGGACTTTGGACGCCCTGGGGGTGTCCATGGACGGGTTTTGGCGAGGTCTAGTCAAGCGCTCTAGGGAACGAATTTAAATCCTGTAATTTGGTTTCCATGCAGCGAACCACGAAACAATTATCTGGGGAGTCAATAATGGCATCTTCATTTCGAGTTCCGTCATCCGGTATCCGGCTCTTCCTTGCGAACGCAACATTTGCACACCATTTGCTCAGGCGGTAGGTATCCCTCGAAGCAGTGAGCATAGACTAAGATTTATTGGAACCCCGGAACCCCGGAACCCCAAGACCCCAAAACCAGTTTCGCGCTTCACTAATCTGTCTAATATTAGACTGAAACGGGGACGCTTGAGTTTCCTGTTCAATTCAAGCAACGGGGCTCCACGGCATGGGGATAAGAATCCGGCTTTGCATGGTCTGGATGAGAGGAGCGGTCTTGTACATTATCTCAGCCCAGCCTTCAACGCCCCACGACTCCTCGCGGCGCACCTTGCGTTCCTCCAGATTGGCGAACTGCCAGAGGTCTCCCGAAATGGCCGGTAGGGTTTGGTGTTTGTTCCTCGACGGTTCCGGCGTGAAAACCTGGAGCAGTCGTTTTCCGAAGTGGTCGACACGGTGGTGTTCTGAATGGCTTCAACTTCAGATGTTTAATCATGGTGGTGTGGATATACTAAATGACTCAAGGAGGATATTGGGTGTTGAACTATGAGCGCCCTCTATTACAGTAGTTTTTCTAAGTATTTGTCTTCACCGACAATTCGTAGTCTCTATCTTTCACATTTTCCAAATCCAAGAGCGGCTATCTACGGATTATGTGGGCGCCTTGCATAGTCCAATTAACCGGCCCTTACATACACATTTGACCGTTACATACCGGTTACGACGAGTATAATCGTACTCGTGAGAATAAATGTCGCGCGATGTTGCCGTCTTTTTCGAAGTATAGACTTCTTGACGGCACGATCGGCGGCGGGCTGGACCCAGCGATCTATTTTTAGACTCCACCATAAGCGGTCCTTTGCCTCTCAGTCAATGACAGAGTAAGCGAAATGCGTGGATGAAGAACGTATTGTGGACGCGCGAACTTAGAGCTGATAATGACATCAAATGACATACGATAACGCACACTTCACCGCTGCATCTATAGACTATAGACCCCCAAGCGAGTCACATCCATTTGAGCGAATTGTTCGCAAACTGAGAGTATATTTGTATTGCCACATGAGACATGTAACAATGTGCAGTGCTGCAGTATATGCAGTCGAAGCACGCTGTGTCGACGGACAACGCATGTCCCGCGTAGATCGATCGCGTGTTGAATTGAAGTTGCATTTCACTTGCGTGAAGCCTTCTTCTCGTACCCTTCTCGTATCTCATGTATTTTTGCTACAATAACTACTAAACCTTGAATCAAATTTCCTCGACCAGTCATTTGAAGATTGGCTCATTGTGGAGAGATTGGGTACGTGGGATTGCTATTCCACTGTTCATGGCGGGGATAGGGGAGATTATTTTGGATGGTGCAGGGTTGTATACGCCCTGTTCTTGTGAAGACTCACGTTGCAGATAGTGGCTAGTAACAGAATGGAAATTTGAGCTATCTAGTTTATACAACACCGGTCGTACTGCTTGCGTGGTTGGCAACTTTCTGCATAGAGCAACGACATCTTCCCAGGAACAATGGTAACTTTCACACGGACACTCCTGACTGGGATTGTGGCTCCATAACCCCTCGTATTGAAGTTTGTTCTATCCCTTCAGCGCCCTCAGCAGTATTGACCGAAGCCAGTGCGCCCCACCAGATGAGGAGTCGAACATACTTTGAAGATTGACTGCCGCATGGCAATCAGCGATTACTCGGCAGGGAATGATTCGGTGCTAAAAGTATTCCTTCTATCGTAAATGCACTCACTAGAATAGACGTGCATCAGAACAAAGGCCTGGTCTGACTTGTTGATCAGCGAAGTCTCCTATCCATAAAATCCACAAGTGGCCGGTCGTTTTATACATCACGGTGTTTGGGCATCGAAAAGAATATTAGATATGAATAGTCCGTTTTTGTGGGTTTACACGCATTGAACTAGTCTGTTTGCGCTTGAAAGTGAGAAGTAACGCTGGAGTTGGGGTGAGTTGTCGAGCAGCCACGCACGTATTCAGCCAGCCCTGTTTCATCTGCAGAATCACAATTAGGCCCCGAGTACAAGGTTACCTGGTACATTTGAGCCGAAAATGAAGAAAACACCACGCTTGTAATACAGTAGAAATGTCCGCGGTGCATCTGTAAAACTGGACTTCGCATACCTGAGAATTACAAGCTCCGTTCCATGTGTCTAACAAATTGACTCTGTGGAGAGTGGATCTAGTTCACCGGGATTTCGATTTTATCGAATATCTTGGCCCAACATAGAGTGAGACCGGTGCTGTCCTGGTGCAGAGTACTTTTCCCGACGATATAAATTGGCGGCTTCTCCTTTCACGAGTTGCGAACGGCAACCAAGCCACATCATGTCCGTGCCAGAATCTTCGCTGGTAGCTCAGTCTGCCTCTCCCGCTATCAGCAATATTCAGTGGACTCCGGATGGCACAGCGCGAATCTTTAGCCAGCTCAAGAGCGGCTACAACCACACCGTCTCCGCTATGTGGCAAGCCGAACGGCAACTGCACAAGGTGAGTACACCTCATTTTACACCTCGGAAGGTGGCATGCTCTAAACAATGTCCGAAGTCCATGTTTATCTACCCAGTCTTCTTGTCAACCGATCCAGACTTGGAAGAGCGTATTCCAGGTCTCCCTGACCAGTACATACGGGGACTGAACAAGCTCCTACCCTTTCTATCTACTCTGGTTGCAAAAGGCCTTCATTCAGTTATTCTATTCGGCACATTGCTTGGCAGCCACCCTAAGGACAACATTGGCTCCATGGCAGATAGCCCCGAAGGCCCCATAAGGCCCGCAATTCCACTTATTCGCCAGAGCTTTCCCAATCTTTATATCATTGCCGACGTAAGTCTCTGCGAATACACAGATCATGGACACAGCTCCGTCCTGTTCAAAGACGGCACAGTCAACAATGAGGCAACTGTCACACGTGTCTCTGATATGGCGCTGTCTTTCGCTCGAGCTGGCGCAAACTGTGTGGCTCCATCTGATATGAGCGACGGTCGTATCCGTGCAATCAAGCTGAAACTTCTCGAAGTCCGACTCGAAGGTAAAGTCGCCATCATGTCATATTCCGCAAAATACGCCAGTTGTCTCTACGGGCCTTTCCGTGAGGCTGTCTCTTCCAAGCTTGTCACAGACGAGCACAAGCGCTATCTACTGCCACCTCCCGCCCGCAAACTCGCTCAGAAAGTCATCCTCCGCGATATGCACGAGGGCGCCGATATGATCATTGTCAAGCCGGGTTATGCAGATATCATCAGCGATGCCAAGAGCATAGCCCATGTTCCGGTTGTTGCCATGCAAGTATCTGGCGAGTTTGCCATGCTCCACGCCGCTGCTCGTGCTGGTGTCTTTGATTTGAAAACCATGGCCTTTGAAACAACAGAGGTCATTGTCCGCGCAGGCGCCGATGCGGTCATCAGCTATTTTACTCCAAGTTTCTTAGATTGGCTGATTTAAAGTGTTGTGAATCTTCCAAAGTGAGGAGGAGAGATAAACACTATCACTAGAAATAAATTCTAGAAATCCCTTCATTTAAGAGTCAACGGGGACGAGGAAAAACCCTTTTCGTAGTTTAGCGCAAGTTTAGATTTTGTCAGAGCATGGAGTGGTATCTTACCACTAACAAGCGATTGGTTACCCAGGAGCCCACATTTCCTTGTGTTTTGTATGGTAAATTGTTTCAATTGGCAATCTCGGTATAATAACCACCGAGTATGGTCACGTTCCGAGGGTATTTCAACCTGCCCTCGACCGCATGTTTTCTAATTAATCAATCATTCTATTTATCCTGAATTGGTTCCGCTTGATCTCATTCGTCCTAAACGCATACTAGTCCATACAGTTTTAGCCTGTTTTGACAGATTTCTACTTCCGGTGTACGGTATACGGTACCCAGACACAGCAACGAACACATCAAGCCATCGTGGACAAGCTTTGATATGGCTACTCAAAGGCAATCTGTCTTTCTTTTGCGCGCGCAAATTGATCCTACTGGCCAGGCAAAGTAGGCTGTCAGCGCGTGGGCAGAGACTCAACGCGCAATACATTTGGTCTTCATTATGTTTCATTTCGTTTAATGGATCACATAGAATTGCGTTTAGCAAGTCGCCTATACTGGTTATCACTTTCTGTCTCCAATAAGCAGAATCCCGTGTTTATAGGTCAAGACCGTCCAGTGGCTTCCGGGCAACAACTCTCATGACTTTCAAAGGCGGGGACTTTCCCTCCGCACACAAACTCCAGTGCTGCTCAATCAACTGTCCAGCCCGTTTTGATGCCGCCTCTTCGTCGGCAACCTGACCAGATCGCAACAAAAGACTTGCATACAACGTCTCTATTATCGAAGCGAGCCTTTTCTCCGTTTCAAGACGGAGATCACTATTCGCACTTGAGAGATAATGAAGCCTCACAACGTCGATCAAGCCGGCTTTTTTGCACTCCTCGTACACCTTGGCCGATGCTGCGAAACATTTACCCTCGGCTTTCAACGAAAAATCGAAACACCGTCGGATCTCCTGAATCACGGGGTTGTCGGCTGATATGTAGGCTTCCTCGTCGATTTCCTCCCATTGAAGAAAACCACCAGGCTCTTCATAAGTAGAATCAAAGTGGTTAGTGTTGGCCCGATGAACGTGAACGTATTGGGAGACACATACTCAAGATGGCGGAAAGATTGGAGATTGCAGTCCTATAGTCGGTTTCTTCGAGAGCAGCAACAAGTAGTCTCACATGGACCACGTCATATCTGTTCCAATGTTCCTTGGGAAATGGTAATGTTATATCCTGAACAGAGAACTTGAAATTCCCTGGATTTTCAGGAAATTGATCCGCCGAGATGTCAAACCCATGATAGTAGCTGTTGGTGTTGGTTTTCTCCAAGACTTTCGAAACATCCTTCAGCCAGATACTTGTCAAGTTTGCATATATCAGTCTTCTGGGCTTGTTATAATTCGACAGCAGACTCACCCGGTTCCAGTTCCCACATCTGCAACAGAAAGCACGCCTTCTGTAGGAATCGATGGATGGATCAGGAGTTTTTCGGTCACTTTTGATAGGACATTGTGCTGCGCATCAAGCCTAGAAGGATCAGTTACACTTTTCATCAGACATTTTGCCCTATTTTCGATTTGTCTGTGGACGCCTACCGCTCTGATTCCTTTTTGTTTCTACCGAAAACATATTTGTCTTGAAAATCGGTCATTGGATTTTGCTGGCTTTGTCTGTTTAATGACAGGATGAATGATAGATGACGAAGGAGAGATCTTCAAGAGGAAATGTAGAGAAACTCAACATTTGAATTGCCGCACCAGGTTAAGGGAGAGGAAGAAAATTTATCCTGCCTTCAGGACATCGGCACGGGACCAATTGAAGTCTGACTGCCTTCGACACAGTGCATCTCCATCTATCTGATCTTCCCTTTGGAACCAGTCGCAAGCCGTGGTTTTGACCAATACAGTTAACAGGGGTCAAAGCACGACAAATGATGTTAAGGATACATAATAAGATGTGAAAAATAGTGAAAATAAGCGGTGGAGCAGGATGTGACCTGGCGTAGCTGAAAGATGCGGAGAAGATAAGTGTACATCATGCCAACACAAACATGCAGGCAGATCTGCATGCCGAGAACACAGATCAGCTGACCCCGCTTATCGTAACGTATGGTAACCTTGAACAGGGCGCTTGGCACGATTACTGGCGTCTACTAGGATCCGGCCACCCTAGGTGGAACAATGTTTCATGTGGTTGAACGAATCGCGCTGATCGAATTTGCAGATGTTGAACTTTCTCCTCCACCACGTCCACTGGAACATGTGCACTATTGTTCAATAGTGAAACTTAAATTCCAAGATCTGCATCGCTTTACATAATCATATGCGAACTCAAAATTCGATTATACGCCCCCAAGTCCCCTTCCCAAGTCCATCCAGCATCGGATCGACAGAGCCCCAGAAGCCGAGGAACAAGGTCAATGTCCTCGGAAAACTCCATTCGAGTCCCAACCCACAGCGCATATTACCTGAGAGCCTCAGTGGTTGTTTTCGTCTAGACAAGACCAGAGTCAGACTCCCGGCTTATGACCCATTGCCACCCGGAAGCAACTGAAGACAATGATCAAGCTTAGCTCGTGACAGTCCCTTCGCTTGTCCCTTTTTTATTCCCTTTCCTCCACCTCTTACTCGATTGTCCAATGTCCGATTCTGATCATCTCTATTCTTTGTCGGGGTCTGCCAAGTCTGGAGTGGATGATGAATTGCAAGTGACAGGCAACATCTCATCGATCTAATCACTATGTTGCCTTTGGAAGGACGCAGTCAGGCGATCTTTGTCATCACGACGATATTCTTGGGGTTCTCTTTCATTGCGGTCTGCCTGCGATGTTTCGTTCGACTTCGCCTTGTCAAGGCATTTGGATGGGATGACGCGTTGATGGTGTTTGCAATGGTACAAATTGCAGTTATTTGGCTTTTCTCTATGCGCATATGTGCATGTCGTGGCTAACAATATCATAGTTTCTGAACATCCTATTCGCCCTGGCTGGAATCACCGGCGCCTTTTATGGAATGGGACAAAAGACCGAGCATCTTATTCAAACGGGCACGATGGAAACCGCCATGTTTGTACGTCTTCCTGGCTCGATCCGTATTTCGTGCCTCGGCCTCCGATTCCTCTGGTGTAGTCGAGCGATTGGGGTCATAAATCGTGGCTAACCGTTTCTTAGTGGTGGTGGCTCGGCCAAACTAGCTATGTCTGGGTCTGCGCAATCGCAAAGATCTCCATCGCCGTCGCACTTCTGCGCCTTACCGTCGCCAAAGTACACGCCCTTATCCTCTGGGTCATTATCAGCGTGACATCGATCGTCGGCTTGATCTTCTTCTTCATGCTGACCCTGCAATGCCACCCAGTTTCCTATTTCTGGCAGCGAGTTCGAGTGTATTACCCCCCGCACACTCCTGTCCTCGGCTCTTGCATGAGCCTCGACAGCATTATCGCTATGGCCTGGGTCTATAGTATTGTCGCAACATGCTGTGACTTGACTCTGGGGCTTTTGCCGTTATTCCTCGTGTGGAATTTGCAGATGAATTCGCGGACCAAGGCCGCCCTGGCTGGTATTTTGGGCATGGGTTGCGTGTATGTTCATACTCTTCAGACGGGACACTCGATGCACGATACTGACTAGATTGATTTAGTGCCAGCGCAGCCGTCATCGTTCGCCTTCCCTTCTTGCACGACTATAAGGATCCCGATTTTCTATGTGAGTTTTCATCTCCACTGGGGCTTGGAGCTGTTTTCCGGTCAACCGAACCAACGAAAGACCATAATAACGATATTCAATCCCGACAGATGCGACCACCCAAATCTCCATCTGGTCCAATGTCGAAGCCTCCTTGGGTATCGCCGCGGGCAGTCTCGTCACCCTCCGCCCACTCTTCCGCTGGTTTCGTGACTCCAGCTCCGCAGGCCACTCGCGGAGCAAGAGCAAGCGAACTGGAGGTAGCATACCACTTTCTAGTGTGAACGCTGTTCGATCCGATTCCTCGGTACCCCAGTACTGGCGACCGGACGTATATCCGGAGGATTCTCAGGCAGTTATCACCACCATTCACGCCTCGAATCGAGGAAGTCGCACGAGCAGCCAGGAGGATTTGAATCCCAATCAGGGGCAGGGGACGTTCTTCTCTGGAGTGAACGTGCAGAAGACTTTCTTCATGTCAGAAAACGAGTCGCAGTAATAGAGCATTGGGGTTACTTGTATTCATTGAAGGCGTCAACGGGATAAAATTGAACGTACCTTATTGAACAAAGACATTTGATCAACTTTGACCGGTCCCCTCATATATGTACTCGTACTTCCCTGCAGTTTATTCCTACCAACTCCTTCCTTTCTGATGTAAATCATCCAAATTTAAGACACAAGCATGTGGATGGCTCTAAAACGGCCACATCGCAGAATAAGCTGCAGCCAAGCCACCCACGAATCCTTCCATGAATCAGGACCGTACATCCATTTCCGGCTCTTCCTCTATCCGGGGAGGGTAAAAAGAAATTGGCTAGACTGGGGGAAGGCAGGCTGTTCGGGTCAGCTTTCCCTGGGGCCGCGGTTGTGAACCGCCAAACAAAGCTCTGATCGGCTCCTTCTAGATGTGAACCGTTTCACAACCTTGTGAGTAATCCCCGTCAGTAATACGAATTATAATTCCAGCCAATCTCCCGTAGATCAATGTCCACTACTGCGATCAAAGCGACGGTCATTGCTTTTTGTGGGGCGTAGTACCCGGGTTCATGCGATCAATCTGATTATACTCTGCCGCTGAGAGAACCCGGTTGAATCCCAATCGGGGTCTAGCAAGCGCCATCTGAAACCAGACCTGGTAAAGGCATCTTCACCATCATCTTTTAGGACCAACTTTCGCTTGTAGTTGCAGTAGGCATGCGCCCCGGCCTGCCTTCTGAAATCAAACATGACATGAGCGCTGATTAAGGGTAGAATTTTCAGCGTAGGATGCAGGAGATAGTGCAAGAGGTGTCTCAGCCGGACGGCTCTTGGTGGTATTGTTACAGATATCAAACCCACCTTCACAGTGATTCTATTCGAACTGTGATATGCCAGATGTCGTCCAGAACGCGGCGAGTTTGACAAGTATATAGTTGCTGCTCAAATAACAGTCGACGTAAAGGGCGTAGAAAATCCGGCGATTTCCTCGCAAGAGCTGCTTGCGCGAGATTAGAAGACGGTGTCAATGGAGAAAGGATACACGCGGTCACCTTGACTAACCTGCAGCTGCAGTGACATCCAAGGTGAATGTGGCTTTGCAATATTGTTTGGGCTTGGATATAAACATGCGTGCTTAGGAATCAAATCTACCAACCATCTATCCAACAGGACACTTCACAGCAATTTTGACAGCCCCTCCTGATGCAGTTTCGTGTATGTCCGGTTGGTTCGTTTCCGCTCGCTCAAATACGTCGAACAGCTGAGCAACGCGGAGTGGGATCAAGTGGGACTGTACCAGGCGGCAGTTCTTGGGTCGTGATCTCTCTCATTGGTTAGGCTGTGCCTCGGGATACGACGGTCTAGTCCTCTCGATTCGTAGCTGAGATGGCCATCTTAACTTACTAGGCTCGAAATAAGGGGGATTATTGCCTCACCTTCTCCTTGCACGCGGACCTGGACTAACAATCCGGCCGTCTGCGGAGGTATGGCTTACCTGCCATGAAGCAAGACAAAACCACCACCATTCCTCGGTGTCTTTCAGGGTTCCAGGCTTGAAAAGACGCCAGATGCCAATTGAGGCCAATGAGGATCACCTATTAGACGCCAGGAATCCAATCCACAAGGAGGCTATCCTTTCAGGGTGTTCGAATACCGAGATACACACGGTGGTATAAGCCCATTGGAGTTTGGGGTTTGTATCGGGTAGACATATTAACACATGACCTGATGCACAGAGCCGACTGAGAGAGAAGGGCCAATGTAGACGATCTGAACCTTACATTGACTCATCATCGATGGCGCCAGTAGTCATGAGGAAGCGATAGACAGCATGCGATCGCATCAGTATAGGGGAGCTCGAGCAGACAAGACACTTGCTCGCTTCGCATTTGACTCGAGTGACGGGAATATGAGGGGACCTCCTGTTGTACGATCCGAGTCAGCAAGGCTTGACCACTTGGACGAGTTGTTATGACTTACCTGTTCATAAAGTTCGCAGAATGTTCGCTTGAGACGAGACGATCAATTAGCTTCGTGGTCATATCTTACCGACGAGATCACTTACAATTGTCTTCATCAATGCAGTCACCATTCATGCGATGTTGACATGATATTGTTTCCAGTTCGTCGCACTCTCCGGCTGTCGCTTCGAATAACCCGCGCTGGGTACACCGGGCACCTTTTTAGAGCCAAAGTCGCGTGACGAATTCACCTGTGGAAATAAATTGTACAGTCGTAAAGCGATAGGACCTCGCGACGCGGACAGCAAGAGGTTCACACTCCGCCGTTCAGAGTGAAGGCGGTGAGGTCGAGGGGGAAGACGCGATGGAGCACGCGTCGTAGTGACGCCTTGGTCTTATCTCCGATCCGGCGATAGGATTCCCAACAGTATTTCAGTGGCGATGGGCTGCTCCTATGTACAATGGCATGGAATCAGTAATGGGGTCCGTGTTTTGGAGCACAAAAATCTGCACAAATAACTGATATAGCGCAGCAGCGGGGGCGATAAATCACTCACATTATCAGGAAGAATGGACCTCTCAAGCTTCTATGCAGCGAAGCACGCAATCGGATATTCGCACCTTTATTTGGCCGCTCGTTTGATTCATATACCTCACCTACGGTATGCTGCGTAGTTTGGAGCGACGGGGCCAGAAATGGTGTGTAGGCCATGGCTTGTGCAGAACACTAACGGGGGTGCTGTATCCTCGGGTCCCTCTGGTTCGATGTCAATGTTCACTGTCATTCATTAGCTTGTAGATTCGCGACATAATCCATGACTCACATGTTCTGGTGGCCAAGACTAGGGACGAAGAGACGGCAAAGAGTTGCGGTCCTTGCGCTCGTGCATTACGTCGAATATCGGTTCGATTGGAATCGCATTGTCTTCAGGATCAGTAAATTTCCAGACAGGTCAGGCTAAGTTTACATACCTGCGACGCGGATATTCGCCTATCTCTTGGGAGCACACACAGTGGCTGTACAGTAGATCAGCTAGTCGACTGCTGTGGCGGAGGCATCTGCGCATAAACACTTTGACCAGTCAGCCTAAGTCTCGTCTCTTTGATCGGCTGGCTGGTTGGCACAGTTAAGCTGCTGAGAATCATACCTGTATCTCTCACAGGCACTGTCTGGCTTGCTAATCCACGATGTATTCTATAAATGTCAGTACAGTGGGAATTTCAGTACTGGATCAATGGGGAAGAACTTATCAAGTGGCTCAGACACAAACCTGCTCGATTTTGCAGAGTCAAGTGAATAAATTGTAGAGCAAATTGCCGGGGGTAGAGGACGTATTTATAGGCTTTTCGGCTCCTTCTGTTGCGCAAGTGCTCTGCTTGGTAGAACGCGTTGAGGGACAACTCTTAATTTAGGCCTGTTGAAACCCATTTCTTCTTTTTACCGCAATTATTTGCAGCGAAATTTTTGGTGCCTCTAGATACTCAGCGAGACAGGCGAGTAAGAGTCGTAGTGAAAAAAGTGATGCTGAGTCGGTCAAGAAACGTTGGCTGACTGTTGAACCCTTCACGGCTCTCTAAAATTGAGGCACTGGGTGCTATTCAATCCGCAATGACAGGCTCATATTTCTTGTTCTGATACCTCATCTGTGAGCGACTCAACGTTGATTCACCGAAAAGCGCCTTCAATTTTATCCCTAGAAATCGTGGAATTTTTTTCCCGGCCTCGCTTTAGTGTTGTTTGTCTGAGATGTGAGTCTGTCCGTCTAGATTGCAGAAAGCGACCCGTTGAAGCTTGGCCACACGTTGACTCAATTTTTGAACTTTGACCATCAAGATACATTGGGTTTATATATTTTGTTTTGTTTTCTCAAGATTTGTTTTTGATGGCTGTGAATCCTACAATGTTCTGTTTATCGAGTTTCTGAGACTTTCAACGAAAGTGGAAGTGTCTGAAATATATCTCCTCAATGAGCATTCATATCTGGCCCTCAACATCGTGAGGCTTGATCAGTCTCCCCGACCGACTCGCTGATCACTATTCCTTCTATCAAATTGACTGCCAACCGAAATTAAAAATAAAATCCATTCAAAAACTGACTCCGTTGATTGACCAATGTGGTGATCCATAACCACCGGCGTCTGCATATTCTATAAGAGACACCAAGGATCGATGGAAATGGTATTGTCCAGAGCCGTGACTTTCTCCTGCGGACAAGATGGATGCACAAATCAGCTCGAAAGATCATGAAATTGGAGGAGATCAGCCGCCCAGTGAATTGCCAACCCTTAGCGAGAAAGACAAATCACAGGAAAGTTCCGACCATGTCCCATTGGTAAGTGGAACGATTCGGCTTCAAACGCTTTTGCTGACCATTGCAGCCCTCTCCTTTGCAGCAGGAAGCAGAAACAAGACACACCCTGGCGACCGAGCCATTTCAACCTATTCTAAAGGCGCTAGCAGACCTCGAGCGCGACGATGCCAAGTTTGCCTTTCCCGCAGCTCACTTGCTGGACTCTGTTGACGACTATGGGAGCCATGCGTGTCCAAGCACATGGATGGTCAGAAGCTACAGCAGGGCAACCTTGTCTTGAAGGAGGCTGGTACGCACCTGAGAAAGAATAGGGACGGTCTTCAGCTTCGCCACGACAAATAGCTATCCCGGCTGCGCTCTTTTGAACAGGCCTTGAAATTATCCTGGCAGAGGCTGATTAGCGTACTTGATGACTGGAATCACCCTTTCAGAGTTGATCTGGCAGGGCCCTTGGATAACGTAAGAGAGGAGTGAGGGATCAGCTATTCAATAAAATCAGGAATGTCAAGAATGGCGGAAAATAGTTCATTCGATGATTCGAAATTAGATTGAGAAGAAATATGATCTCTAGACATCTGGACACCCGACTTATCTCGGAACATTGATCAGAAGCACCTCTCTCAATTTTTGTCCTTTGCTCCATTTGTTCAAAACGACTTCCTGAAGGGCAAGAGCCGCAGTGTAGAACCACTTTGTTTGCTCCTGGATAGAAAGACCTTTTGATAATAAAGGTGGTGGAGGTATTGGACCTCCACGTCCCCCCCAAGTCCTAACCCCTCTCCCCCCTGTAAGACAAATCCATGAATACATGTAGAATGCCTTCGGGTGGAATCGACGTAGCGCTCCCGATTTAAGTTCAGAATATTGGGTATCAGACAATCCAAGAAAGAGACCCATTGCCTCAATCACCACCCGAGCTCTCCATATCCATTTTGCTTCACGAATAGGCAAGGATCTAACCCAATGGCTCACACGACCCATCCGCTTTTCATGTTCCCCTTCTGTCTCTGTAGGTTCCTTTGCGCGTTCGGCATCCATCTCATCCTCTAGAGCGTTCTGGCGGGTGGTATGATCTGGCACTTCGAGCTTGCGAACCGATTTGATCAGATTATAAATCTGTTCAGTGCTTTCTTCCGCTTCTTCTTCATCAAGAACGTAGTCTTCAAGTCGTATAAGAGTTGTATCTTCATCTGGGTAGCACAAGCTCAACAACAAGGCTGGGAGAAACTCGATTTTTGGCTTCGCGGGAACGGTAGACTTGGAAATCGTGCCTTTTGGGCCTTTGAATCTTTGAGACGGCTTCTTTATGTGAGAATTGAGTGTGACATTTTTTTGATTGCGAGAAGATGCCTTTTGGCGGGCCTGTTGGCGTGTTTGTGCCATTGAGGTGGTTGAACAAGGTTTCCAAACTGATAATTTTTACCAAGTCGAAAAGGATGAATGGGTTATGTAGACTGCAAAAACTGGGTTGGCGGCTTAAATAACTAAAGGTAACACAGGTATTAGTCATAGCTATCGGATGATTCCATATAGATAGACTATGCTCCTAGGAACGAAATCTAAATAAATTCCATGTACTGTGGGTCCAAATCTATGCACTCGTCAGTTGGAGTCAGCTGCCAAGATTATTGTAAGGCGCTTGAGCAAAGGAGAAAAAGAGCTATCAGACTAGGCTAGGCCAGGCCATGGGTGGCGCCACTGGGCACCTAGTGTGTAAGACGTCGTAGGATTCAACATTGCAAGTTCCGTTCAATTGCCAATAGCCTAGATTTGAGAAATATCATAGGGAACAATCAAGCAAAGAAGCCCAAGTACCTTCATGTCTGAGCTTGAGTTATGATCTACATCATATGGTTTACCTAATCAGCATGGTATTCTGAGGTCTAAAGAACAAGAGACATACCGAGAATGCTTGACAGAATTTGGGACAGTTAGCTTAGCACAAGAATTCACAGGTATGCTTTGCCAAACTAAAAAGGCGGGTACAAGGAGTGCTAAAGCCCTTGACAATATATGAAAGGGTACCATTACCATAGTATCTCACGCAAGTCCCAGAGACCATTTGATATGAGGGTATTGAATACATCTGACAGCTACCTTGGGATGGGGCTTGTGAGTGGAATCGATTGAGAGGGACCTTCTTTTAGCTTAGGGCAAGGTTCCTCAGACTGTTATAGTACCTCCAAGTCCATGAGCCATAAAAATTGCGAGCCCCGGCTTTAACACGATGAAGCACTCGGAGGTTTGAAACCAACCACACATGGATTTTTCGATGTGCACGGAATCTGAATATTGCTGCGCCTTTCAATATCTGCAGTAGCAATTTTGCTGAAGAGAGGGAAGGGGAGGGAGAGATTTGGGGGTGGGAGAGGAATGACTGCGAATCTACGTGGAAATGAAGAGCCCTTATTACCGATTTTGCGAACAGATACTGTGAAACTGAATCTGGGAATGAAAATACTATCCTCAGAAACATCAAAAGCAACTCTAGGAGCTTTTCATCTTCTGGGACCTCCTCTTTAGCTCCTAGGGCCATTTTGTTTCTAGGAAACTGAGGTCCACCCCTGGGATCCACACTCTACGATCCTGGCAGAATATGACTTTGCTCTGGGAACAGATTGGCTAGATCTGGAAGCTGTTTCGCTTCTAGGACCCTAATAAGGCATCCGAGAGTCAATATTATGCCTTCTGGGGTTGCGGAAAGCCCTCACAAGATACCCTTACCAGACCTGCGCACAAATATGAGTCATTCAACGACTCCTGGAAAGGCAAGCTATAGCCCCAGGAACCGCACCTGAGGTTCCAGGAGTTGATAAGACTGTCAACAGGAACATGACTTTGGTTCCTCGAGGTGGAGGTACAAGACCCCAGAAGCTATTTTGGGCTTCCTGGGGGCTACTTGGCTCCTGGAAGCGGCTTCTTTGCCCCCAGAAACCACACTGAAGCCCCTGGGAGCAAGGTAGCTCCCAGGGCCCAGCCATCATTTCCAGGGCTGATAGAGCTTGATCCTGGAAACCTCAAAAGCATTTATAGGAGCTGTGTATCCCCTGGGAACTACTCTTTAGCTCCTGGAGCTACTTCCTTATCCCAGGAAACTAATCTACTCCTGGGATCTTCACTCTACGTTCCTGAATGAACACAAAATTGGTTTGGGGAACGCATTGCCTGGATCTGGGAGCTTTTGCACTCCCAGGGCCATATTTCTAAATCCTAGAATCAATATTCTGCCTCCCAGCGTAGGGTACTAACTCACAAAACACCTTCTCCAGACCTACGCACAAATCTGAGTCACTTTATTATTCCCAGATGCCTAGCCTATGGTTTTAGGAACCGGACTCAAGGCTCCAGGAATTAATAAGCTATCAACAGGGATATGACTTTGGTTCCCCGAGGCGGAGGTACAAGACCCCAGAAGCTATTCTGGGCTTCCCGGGGCCTACGTGGCTCCTAGAAGCCGCTTGTATGCCCCCAGAAACCGTACTAAAGTATCCGGGAGCAAGATAACTCCTAGGATGTGAGTTCCTATCACTGATAGAGCTGTTAATAGGAACGTGACTAAATTCCCAAAAGTAAAGATGGATAGTTCTATAAATTACGTACGATTTCCTCTGGCTATGTGATTCCTGGACTACTGACATGTCCCAGGGTCAGTTTTTGAAGTCTTTACGAACACCAAGGTTAATGGATATTTACACAGAAGATCGTCAACCATCACTTGTCTTTTATATCAAGCCACTCAGAACACCGCTCCAATATCGGCCAATATCGACCGGCTAGTCCGATCAAGCGATGAACATGCTTTGATTCCAATCAGGAAATTCAATATCTAAATCATCTCCGTAACTCTGCAGTAAAGTCCATTCCTTTGCATGACCCTATCCGTCGCACCTCTCTAATGTTTATGGACTCCACCTCCCTCATTCTTCGAAATTCATCATAGAATTCTGCGATTGTTCTTATTTGTAATACCTGCTGACTCCTTCTTCAAAACCCGAGTATAGTAGGCAGTTAGAACCGCCACTGTGTATGTGTTGTAGGCTCGGTGCGCGGTCTCTGCTAGTGACCATGTAAGTCACGTACGACAAAACACACAAAAGACACGATGAGGAGTAAAGATCCGAAAGCGGCCTGGCCAACGGATCCATAATACGTAATCTTGTAATATCAAATGTGGCCCCTGTCAAAAAACTCGAAGGATGTCTGAAAGCCGTGGACGCAGCTGGCAATCCAACCCCCTAAGGAGAGCACTATCATGCTCACGATGATTTGAATGCAACCGTAGTAAAACTGAGCGGCGCAGTTCTCTTGTAGCCACTTCGGGTGGATCACAAGGATTAACCCGTAGATGGAAAACAGGGCTGAGACCAGGGCCACAATCACCATGCTATCGACGACGTTGTCCATGAGCTTTTGGAATGTGATGTCCAAAATAGAGTCGCTCGGGTTGACGAGGTCGGATTTTGCACGGTCTCGCAGGACGACCGCAAAGTGTACATTGGCCGAACTGAGACTAGCAAGGGCCAGCCAAGTGATGATAAGGTAAATAATGACAAGACGTATTCGTATCATGGCGGCGGCAGTCCTCGGAGACATTTTGTGTCCGCAATAACAGATTTATCGAGTGTGAAAAGATGAGGCCAGTGTCGCTCAAGGGAACAGTTGAGCAAAGTAAAGAGTGGAAGGCAGAAAGATGAAGCAGGTCATTATCTCCGGGTACTGTAAAGGTTATATGTGCTAGGTGATCTTCACGCAAATGCTGCCTCTACAAAGAATGACCCAGCTGATACTGAGCCGCGCCATATACCATTTAAGTACCTGGTGTCTTAGTGGCATTCCACGGAGGCTTTTACTGGATAAGTATGTTTCAAATTGAAGCACTATTCCTATGCTCAAGGCCGATGGCCTCTACAGAAGTGTCTGATCTCTCAGTACGGATCCCCGGAAATCACCCGTTTGTTCCCAGGATTTACATTCCTGCTACTATATTATTATCCTCATTAATATGTGTCGTGATTGCGCATAACACTTCTCAAGATTGGACGAGCACCGATGGAAGATTTCTGATACCGACGTAGTTTGCCTTGGTCTGTTTGCGATACATCACTCCGCTGTACTCGAGGAAACTACGGTTTGCTTTTGATTGAAAATCTACCCAACAGTCCCCAGAAAGATGTAGTCACCTCTTTTCTATCTCTTTTGTTGAGCTTGTGTTTAATAGCCAGTGTAGGATGCGTCTCTAAGCCATGACAAAACCGTCCCTGTTAGGTGAACCAACGCGGCCGATTAGGAAGCGAGTTCGAGTGGGAAATTTAACAAAGTCCCACTATTGGCAAGGAAACCAACATGGCTCAGATGGATATCTTCTATGGGCGGAAAACAAACATGCTGCTGGTGTTCAATGGTGTTTTATGTTCAACGTTGATGTCAACGTTGATTCAACGTTCTCACACCATTCACCACCCGTACATCGTCAAAGGTGCTGGAATGAGAACACTCAAAAGATACTATCATATCGGCACATACCAGCGGATTATGATCAAAGAACCTAAAAGCTCCAGGGCTCCTGGAAGCACAAAACAGACTCTCGGCCAGTCGGATCTTTATCGTGGCTGCGCGGCGCGGCTGAATCATCGCCCTAACAACCCCCAAGGCGTGAGAAATGGAACTCCCTTCCACACGTTCCTATTCATGGTCAAATATAACCTGGCAGCAATGTTGCTCCTGGGAATATACTTCAAATCAATTGGTGGCTCGAGCACCATGTGGATACGACAACTGGATTAAAAAATCATTCATTCGATCGTTGGTGTACGTACCACAATTGTGGCCACATATTGACATCCATAGTCCTCCTAGGAGCCGGTGCTGGTAATGGTAACCCGCAAAATCTCGATTGTGGATATGGTGGGCATGACCGTTTCAGCCCCAAGCATTTAAAAGGTCATGATTGTCCTCACCGTCGATGCTCTCGTATCCTTCTTTTGCTCCAATAACTTGCCAGTACAACACCATCACTAGCGAAGCCAATTAATCATGAATCACAACCTGTCACAGGGTTCAAAGAGGTCCAATACCCCAGAAACAGAAGGTCACAATGGGCGTACATGCCAAACAGGTATCGTTATTTTAGATCCCCTTCTCGAGGAATCCATCGGCTAACAAATCTATCACATGAAGGCAATGAATCGGCTGAAAAGTTCCGTCGGGTCGTTGGCCTATTCACCCACGGGAATCGCGGCCACACAAGCCAGGGTTTACAACCGCCTGTTTACCAGCCCACTGACTCTGTAGCTACAGAGGCAGTTACTTCTGTTGGTACCTATCTTGCTAGCTCAAGGGCCTCTACGTTGCCTTCAGGCGTCATAAAGGCTGAAAGCCAAGGCCTGCCCCCTCTGAACGCGAAAAAGAGAGCAGCCGAACCCTCAACCCTCCCACGAAAGCGACGCCGACATTCATACTCCACCTCTCAAATACCGGGCCGCTCACAACTGGTGCGTCGAAAGAGACTCCCAAGCAATATAAAAATCAGTAGGAAAATGGTCAACGATACAATTCAATACCTACAAACGCTATCCGACCACATCTTGATCTCCGACACCATTTTGCCCAAGGAGTGGGCCACTATGCATCTCGCCACCCAATTGCTACAGAGCAGGTACGAAGAGATCATCGCGAGGAAAGAGATGGAAACAGACGCTGTGTCCGATTTTGATTCCCCACCAACACAGCCAGAAGAGAAGTGCCGGAAGTGTGCTGCTGCGGACGAGGAGCGGCTGTATGACTGAGACGCTCCTCGTTCTTATTACCTTGTCGGCTATATTTTGATAGCATAACTGGTCCACGAAGATTGACGAGCAAATAAAATGTTATGGAACATAACTCGGTATTTGAGAACCTGCCAAGCTTCAAATCTATCAGTCCATGAAAAAGGGACTTTCAGGTGCGAAGATGGATTCAACGATTTTCTGTGGGTGATTTTAGTCCGCTCGACAAGCAAAAAGAAATATGTAAAAGCCAGCTGCATATTGATCTCCAATCAATGCAATATAGATTAGAGAAATCAGACAGTATGTACCAGACAAATCGGGGATACATATGACCTTTTTATGTATGATTTGTTAAACTACGTATTCCATTTCCCAGCACATCATATAAAAAAAAGTTTGCTGTTGAACATTGAAGATGAAGACGCTGACACAGCTGTAAAAAAGAGTATTTTATCTGATCACTCAGCATTTTTGTGTAGCTGAAATAGAAAATGCTTAGCATAATTATGCTAGCGTGGGACCATATGGGAGTCCCACAATTCCCATGGGAATGCCGCGGGACCAGGAGATGGGACTGAAATTTCTAACTCCCGTGGGAGTTGGCAAGGTCTAATATGACCACTCATAGAGGTCAAATTGATGTAATTAATTGCACCAAAATGGACCATGCTATTTTGCTTTTCCAAATCATCAGATTATCTGTCCAGTTCAAGCCAGAGAGCCAGAAGCCAGATAGTTGAGATAGAAAGAACTCCACATAGCTATTAACACCATAGCTCCAGCTATATCGGATACATGAGCACAGGCAATATCCGCAGAAGACCAGGCTATGCCATTTTGCCTTACTTGACCCCTTATCCCTCGAGGGTATAGAGCAGGGTTCCCCATCCTAGCTGGTCGTAACCACCACTATCCGAACCGTAGTCCCCAGAGCCTCCTTCAGATCCTCCTCCATTCTCCACGACCAAGTCTCTATACTTCTTCGTCCATGTAGTGTTCAGGCCTTTGAGGACCCCATAGTGGTTGTAAAGCAATTCCCAAGTTGGACGGATGTTACCGCGACTGGAGTTGCTGATGGCTGGTAAACCCAAATACGCGTTGCCATATGCCTTGTAGGGAACATCATAGCCGAGATTGTATCTGGCTTCGTATTCGGCGCTAAAAGGTTTTGTTAGCACGAGGAACATCGGAGTGGATCACAACTGGCAATAAAGTCAGAACGGAAGACATACGCAGACAAAATGATGCTATCATTGTGAGCGAATAGATCATCCCCCTGGTTGTAGGTCATTTGACCTATCGCGGCGAAGAGTGCAATATCCAGCATGGTATGACCTTGATCACGACCAGTCTCCATTGGCTGACCCAGGACTTGATTGTCATACCAATAAGTGTAGGGAACTGCATTGTTTATCTGTCCATTCCCAGTGCCGTTGAGGAACCAGTTCACGCCTTGTTGGTATATTGTTTCATTATCGGTGAGAACTCCAATCGAAACTGCGGCAGCGATCTGGGACAAATCCCACCCAGGGTACACTCCTCCACCCCAGGAGCCCCAGTTCTCATGACCCACAAACCATTGATTAATTGCTGGGTAAAAGACGCGCAGCATCATTTTGGCGAAGCGGTTGAAATTCTTCCATCCGGTATAATTGCGCATGATTTCAGCAGCCTGACAAAATTCGTAGCCGTAAATTCCGACCGCAAGATACAAATCCACGGTACCACTGATCTCAGTAAGGTTCGCGGACCATGCATCAAGGATACCGACAGCAGCGTCTGCGTAGGTACTGTTTTCCGTCACAGACCACCGAATGGCAAGCACATAGGCCGCTGCAACATCCTGGTATAACTGGGCATAGTTCTCGGCGTGGGTGCCGTCGTAGCCTCGGTAGATGATAGACGCAGGGTTTGGTTTGTAGGAAGGATCGGAATATGGGCTGTCGACAAGTTTGTTCCAACCCTCCATCCAGGGCTCGGCCTCCTCGTTAACTTTCTCCCGGATGCGATCAAAGTCTTCAGAGGTGTGGAGAAGCCCTGGGTGCGTAAAGGTTGAGCAAGCAGAAGCGACGCAGGCCAAAACAAAAAAGTAGAAAAGTCCCTTCATAACGACGACTATCAGTCCCCAGGAGGATCTTGATGTCTGTAAAAGAATGCCAGATGTATCCAAAAATGACCTCAAAAATAATGACTCGATGCAGTTGAAAAAGAGTGAATTATAGCAAGAGATATATTGAACTGCGCATGGAGGTTTCTTTATATGCCGTCCATACAAGATTTTCTCATATAGCATACTTGAAACGTTATCTTGGCGTACTCTATTTAAACAAGATATCGGAGATTGCTTCTAAGCCGATGAACTGTCCGCTGTCTGCGCTCCCGATGAAAACCAATCCTTGAAGTTAAAGGAGAACAATTATAAACCCTGTAAGTAGCCAAGCAACCCACACGCCCACTTGCCTAATGAGAAAGAAGGTAGGGCGTTCTTAAGATGAAACGGCGCTACGCGATCACTCAATCACGACCCATCACACGTGACGGTATCTGAACGATTTTCTAATAGTTACTGGTTATGAAAAATTCCATACGGAGTAGATGTCTCATATTTACTAGCCCTAAACCAAGTGAGGAAGAAATCCCGAAGTGATCGCAGTGACACAAGGCTGGGTAACAAATGGATCCTGTCGAAGGTTCTTTTAAAGTTTGGTGGCGTAGGGTTAAATTGTGTACTGTGATTGGTGAAGTTCGTCTTTACCCCTGGTTTCCGGCTGTTGGCTCCAACAGAATTACCGAAATCCCAATAGCTGCACAAATAGTTAGGGAATTAAATTGGGGTGTAGAAACGCGTACGACGTCGACAATTTTTTTTCAATATCGTTATCGTACAAATATCCGCACTAGCATAAAGCTCGCTAATTTATCCTATCCTAAACAATCAGGTGACAGTTATGAAGCTGGCAAACTATTATCTTACAACTGAATGTTTACACGTTTAGTTATGACAGTACTCATTCCTCATTGAGTGGAAATATATATTTGATGTGAATGAAATGTAGAACGCTTTTCTGCAAAGCTTCAATTTAGTATCTGAATCTATGAATATTACAGTTTTGATATTCAAAATAGTACTGATAGATTCGTGAGGGCTTGGTCTCATTGTGAATCTATTTTATCAAGGCGCAATTCAGATTTGAAGTTTGCAGCTGGCGGACTCGTGAGTTTTTCTTAGTTGAAGCGATCACGGGATAGTCGTCCGATATCCAACAAATTATCGGGTGATATCAGCTGGATGTCGGATAGATCATTCAACAAATATCCACTTCTGCTTATCTATACCCAATTAGTATTGAGTATAATCTTCAGCACGTCTAAATCGCGCAAAAATTTGCCTATACCCCTATTTTGTCAGCTGAATTCCTTGTAAGCCTCATTTTCATGAAAAAGCTGGGCAGAGAGAACAATAGCTAAGGAATTGAAGAACTTTTTGATTAAGCCAGATGAAAATGTGCACCAAGAATGACATGAGCAGGAGGGATTGGATGGCTATCAAGAGAAGATGGTTGTGCTTGTACAACCACCATCAAAGCATGACGCCGGGTCTGCCATGGATGTGCACGAATCAACTGCCATCGGTGAGAGAATGGAGCAGAATGGCCCTAAGCGATGTGATGTGTCTGGGGGGGAGGTGCGTTGGTCACGGGCGGCACAGCCGTTGACCCAACAAGGCGCCATAATTGCCCCACCTAGGCGTCTTCCACTGAACTGCCCATCCCCAGGCCAGCGGACTGATAACCATTTCTCTTTATACTTTGCCCCTAGGCTTGTGACTTATTCTTGCAAGCAAGAATACCAGATTGAAGAGAAGACTCGGTGATGTAGCAAGTAGCGACTATTCACGGCGGGGAGCCGAACCCGCTGGACAGCACCGGGCTCTGCATTACATTGTGGAAACCCTACGCCCGCAGGCATAGGGTTTCTGCCAAGAACCGGGTACTGGGTAAACATCAATCCCAATATAGTATAGCGTTTTTTGCATATATAAAAGGTAATCCAAAAATGGGGAAGTAAACATGCATTCAGAGTGTGCAGTGTTACGAAACGCGATGTTGGTTGCCTAAATAAAGCCATTCCCGACTAAGTTCAACGTGCCGCTCCATGCTTCACCACACGATAAAAGTCTACCAACTAGGGGAAATAATTTTTAAACAGCAACTGAAACACAAAATTCTCAGCTTCAGCTCTGCATGAAGATGATAAAAATCTCAACCCCGCCTGTAAGCCTCGGTAGCTAACTGCTCTCACTGGTGATGCTACCGGGGCCTTGATCGGGGGCTCAACTCTCTCCACGAGCAATCTCTACTTGTCAGGAAATTTTAAGCATCAAATCAAATCCCTTATAATTTCCAACATACGAAAGTATACATTTGGTGTCATCATGGTAATTCGAGCCGATTCCTCGTCATAAATCACCCTGGCTAACAATCAACTAGCATCCTGTAACGCAAGCGCCACCCACAACTATCGTTCGATGCTTATCTTCAATACCCAGCCTACGACTTCTTTCAATCCCTCAATGCAGCGATTTGCCCTTTGTACCGTACCATGGAACCCGCGATTATATCGCGTCTCAAAATATGCTTCTTGATGACCCAGACAGGATTCGTGCAAAACCATCAAAGTCCCATTCCGGCCATCATTGCCTCCTCTCGGCCGCTGTTCTGCATTCCATCAGGCCTTCTACCAACTGATTCCATCCGTCAACAATCCGCTCCGTACAGAGGAACTCTGCTTCGTTCATTTACCCAAAATTTTGCTTTTCTTGTGCCCTCTTCCTTGATATGTAAGGGGAAAGGACTTCTATTGTCAGTGTAATTTTCTGGCGTTTCGTACTGCTGCACGGGGAACTACGGGTCCTACATATGAACAATGCGCTAACTCAATGGATTGATCACTGTCACCCATGGCTACGAGTGTAGGTAGGCACGTGGCTTTCGGGGCTCAACTTACCCGCACTTATATATAACTGGGTAAAACTGGGTAAAATATGTGCGCTAAAAACTTCCAGAAGGATGGTGGACGTCATTACGAACTTTAAAAGCAGCTCGATTCAGCTTATTTCAATCAACACTAATGGTGGATGAAGCCAACAATTTCTTTGTACCCAAGAACGACTCATCGTGGAATGTATCTCAAAATTTACACGTAGACATAAATTGGCGGGTCTTGGTATGTAAAGCCAGATCCCACCATTTCCAGAGGTTTGGTCGAGGTCTTTCAACTCGGCAGCGTCGGTGCAAGAAATCACACGGTGATGATGGTGTATGTTGTTACCGAAGTAAAACTTGAGATCTCAAGACCAGGCCGAATGTAACATTCCCTCCCATCTGAGATTCTCTCGGAGCGTGTTGATCGTAGCCAATATCCGTTGCTTGGCCTTGTTGAAGTTTGCCTTAAATCAGGCATTTGATATAATTGCCAATTGGGCTGACGGGGCCGATCAAATAGTGTGGTTTGGAGTTCTAAAATCTTCGCTTTGATGTCGCTCTGCCCGAGCTTAAGTAGAGAAGAGTTCTTGCGCGTTCACCCTATTATTGGGCATCATGCCCGTGGAATCTTTCTTGTTACCATCAATGGCTCGCCTCTTATGGCTTAGATACAAAGTTAAGGTTTGTGGCGTCTAATTACTGCGTGTGGTGGTTTGTAAATTTCGGTTCTAGAACCCTTCACTTGACCGCCACACTAACACAACCGGAATAAATTCACACGATAAGCTTAACCTGAACAGGATTCACCTCCACTAGTCGGGTATTCTCTCCATAGAACCCGGAAACAAGCTTCTGTTAGTGGTTATGGTTCGCATGGACGGTCCATGACCGAGGAAATGCCGACCGATGGCCCGCGCTTGAGATGGGGGTGCTGAATATTCCTCGGGCGCACTAGTAAAATGGCGACCCTCTTTTGCCGACATGTAATGCTCTTGGCACAGGAGCGAGCTATGCTGACAATATAGAACACGTGACTATCGCGCCTGGGAACTTATAATCGTTCGCGACCCTCCGGGATCATTTATAATTTGTCCGACGAGCGTTCCAAAAGGTTCATGCTACAAATCCTGCGAATAACATCTCAAGATGATTACTACTTTTAAAAAAGCTTTGACTCGGGTAAATTCTCGAGCTTGGCTCGCAAAATTTTTTGAACCTGTTTCTCAAACATCAAGATCTCCCCACCCACAACAAGCAACAGAAGAGGCAGACTTTTATTCAACTGGAGGCTTCCATCCCGTTTCGCTTGGAGACACTTTCAACTCTGGCACATACAAAGTGATGAGAAAACTAGGCTACGGACAATATTCTACCGTTTGGTTAGCTAGGGATTCCAAGTGAGTGTAGTTCTCCACATTTGTCAAACATGCAGCTTATCGAGTACTGAAGGGTTCAGAGGTATGTGGCTCTTAAAATACTAAGAGCCGATTGCTACGGTGGCTCGCACGATATCTTTGAGCGAGAAATTCTCTCGAAATTATCCGATATCTCTAGGAAAAGCAACCATGGAGGCCGACCCTACGTGTTACCCGTTCTAGATCAATTCAAACACGAAGGGCCAAATGGACAACATATTTGCTTTGTGTTCGACGTGTTGGGCCACCACTTGGATTTTCAAACCGCAAAATACCGAAATGGGAGATTGCCTATCAAGGCAGTAAGAACTATAGCGCGACAGCTTCCACTAGGGTTGGATTTCCTCCATAGGGAGTGTGGAATCATTCATACCGGTACTACCATACGTTGCGAACCGCCTCCTACTTATAATGATGACGCTAATTATAGTCGACATACAGATTTAAAACCTACGAATATACTACTCGAGCTGGAAAATCCGGAACAAACTATTGAGAATATCTATCTGAAGTTCCTGCACGGGTTAGTAATGAGTGTGGTATTACAAAGCCACTCCGAGAGGTCATCAGGACGCCGCTCATCTCGAAGATACGTGAGCCGCACATCAGAATAGTTGACTTCGGTGTTGGTATGTATCACTTGTCTTGTCATCTTTCTGGGCGACACTTACACTGGCTGTAGCTTCTTGGTCAGACAATCATCTGTCGGATATGATTCAATCTCCAGCTTTACGAGCACCGGAAGTCACAATCGGTGCCCATTGGGATCATAAGGTTGATATCTGGAGCCTCGGTTGCCTTGTGAGTATTCAATCTATTCGCTCAAATATGGCGAGGTTGTCTTTTATCTCCTAATTTTTAATAGATTATTGAGTTTGTCCAGGGGATAGTGCCTTTCTCTGGAGTGGCATCAGAAAACGGTTCGTGGACAGTTGATGATGACCGGCTTGCAAGGACCATCGAAATACTTGGTAATTTCTCGCCTGAGCTTCTTCGGAAAGGAAACAGAACTGCGGAGTTTTTTAACACGGATGGTATGCATTTCTTTCAAACAAGAAGCGCCAATATCATATTTTCCCAATTTTACTAATTCTACTTAGGCGGCCTTCTTCGAATCTCAGATCTGACATCGACTAGTCTAGAAAGGCTAATAGATGGCGCTGAAAGGCCTTTCCTCAAACCCAACGACATGTCCGACGCTGAAATACCCGTCTTCATCGACTTCCTTCGAGGTATGCTTACAATTGACCCGACATATCGAAAGTCGGCCGCAGAACTGCTGCAGCATGAATGGCTTAAAATGTGACTACTCCAAAATACAATTGGAGTGAAGAGAGGTAGTGTCATCTCATTGCCACTTTTTATAAGAAATTTAAAGCTTATATCTCACATGGACCGTAGGTTTTAGCAAGTAGTATCTTACATTGTTTTAGAGAGATAGACATGCCCCGATGCGAGATCTGAGCCTAAGTTTTAAAGGTTCGTTACTCTAATTAGAGTGTTTCCTTCTGCGGGAACCAAAGAAATGTAACATGGAGCTATATTTGCGCATTTACTGATTGAGACAAGCAGAAAAAAACATGACTTCTCTAAGGCGAATACGGGGATTGAGATCAAGATGGTTGGCATCTTCAATTCTATTTGAGAGATCACCTGATAGCGGGGTATACTGGAAATCTGATCGTGAACTTACCGCCCTGTTCAAACCACCTACCTATAATCATGGCGGCTAGAGGGCCAGGGAGCTGATCCACGAGAATCCATAGAGAGAATCCATTTTTGAAGAGATTCCTCTTCAGTTTCCGTTAATTTATGCGAATTTGCGCGAGAAATCGCGCGGTAAGGAGTGCTCTTTAGCCGGCGGAGGAGAGTCGATTTTGGAACTTCGAAACGACGCGCAGCTTTACAAATAGAGGCAAACTCTTGATTCTTAATAGCCTGGATAGCTAATAAGATCCTACCCTCTTGCTCTATTGAATTTGCAGAGGATCAGGAGCGAATTGGTGGCATAGTGAGTTGAATTAACTAATTGCTAATTCCTAGACGCGTTTTGGGTTGGGTGGACCACTGGATTACATGGACCACTCGCTTACCGATTACGTTAGGGTGCGAGGGGGAATCGCCCGATGCTTCGCATCCTACGACAGACCATGATTTCCCCTAATATCAATGCCCAAAATGCCGACGGCCAAAAGCCGTGATCTTTCCTACGATACACATGATCCGACGATCGATCTATTCGTGGGGGCGTCTAGGTTCTGGGCGTTGACGTCTGTGTCTTTTGAGAGAAGGATTGTAAGCCTATTAGGGAAATCGTGGTCTGTGTTCCTAGATCCCTCATGCCCCACCCCTGGGGATCATTTGTTAATTCCGGGGAGCCCTCGTGCTCCCGGGATTCATGCTCAGGGGCCAGGAACAGATGTAAAACGCGTGGTCTTGCTATCGGTTGAAATATTATCCGATGGGTGACCCACTGATCCACTGGCACGGATCTTGCCAAACGCTATGCTGTAGCTCAGGGAACCCACTCCTCATTCCCCGGAGCTATATCATTTAGTCCCGGGAGCTGTAGGTCCTCTGGGAACTACGAGTCTGATCCCTAGGAGCGACCAAGAGCGTGCCTAAGTACCATGCCATGGATCCTGGGGCCGGATATGACCCCAGGAACGTAAGGTCTCATTTGCGAAATGAAAAGTGGGCTGTGAAATGGGTTCTTAATATTAGGAATATAAATTAAAATGCGGCCAATAAGTGCCCCCAACGGAAAGTTGAGGTGATTATATAACTGGGCAGAATCATGGTAAAGTCAGTCAAGATACTGAAGAGAGGCAATAAAATGCATGACCTGCGATTGAGAGACTAAAACCGATCTACCAGTCCTAGGAGGTCCAAGTAGGAGATAACCTCGTCGATCAGTTTTAATAATACAAACTGAAATGCAGACATAAGTGTGGGCAACGGAAAGAAGAGGTGATGCATATTAACTGGGCAAAAATTTGGTGTAAAGACAATATTTAGAGAGAGGCATCATGTTGATAGTCAGATAGCTCTCACTCTCTCTCCCTCTCTCTTCCTTTCCTCTTTGTCCCCCTTTATGCGAATCGACTACACTGCTTTCTCTATTTGTTTCATGATCGTAGCTCGAGTCTAGACAATATTATCCTCGAATACATTCCATGAAGTTTCCTGGTCGCTCATTCCCGCGCGTTCATCGAGGAAAGTTTCCAACAACAATTGTACGCTCGAAATAGAACTGCCCTGGAATTTGTATATCGGCTATAGTATAGCACTGGGAGTTAGTCAAGCTGCAAAAAACTCTTATGTAAAAGGCCATACATACCATGTCTATCATAGTGGGGGCTCCATACTTGCTCAGCCAGTGGCGTTGCGTGTGGGTGATTTCCGGTAGTATACAAAGGTAGGGCTGTGGTTGGGGTAGCTTTGTAATGCGAATAACGAATAACGTCAGGCGATTGCTCAAGTAACATAATTTTGGGGTTATCACCTGTTTGTGTACTCGAATTTCTCTTTATATATCTCGAAATAGAACAAAACAGCTGTATTAAGGCGACAAATAGAGCAAAGATTGAGATGATGGCTTCGGCAGATAAGGACATGTTAGTATGTCAGTATCGAGGTAGCTAATAAAGGTGCTTGCGCTGGTAAAATTAAGACAAGAGAGGAGAACTGCATTGCGGCGAGTTTGTTTATTAGCGGGTGGGGTGAGTAGACAGGCATGGAGACAAAATACCGGAATCTCAGCCACCCTGGCAATAAGGCACGCAGGCATCGATTCAGGCATCCGACCTTGAGCGCTAGGTTAACGTGTTTCACAAGCGAGTGACGCATCCTGAAACACTATAGTAAATGCGATAAATTACAACTTGAAATCCCTGCAACGGTGGTGTATACAGAATTCTCCTCATAGCTTAATGCTTTTTAGGTTATATCTAGCCTCTATAGGGAGTTTAGAAAACCTTTATGACGTTGTGGTTGAGATATATGTATTTCTGGCTTTGAGCAATGTAATTTTCAATACCATAATAATGCAATTTCCGATTTTATTGAAACTGATATATAGTGTTTGAAAGTATTATCGATAGCTATCGAATGAGAATGAAACCAAACAACTACATGGTTGCTGAGATATAACGTTGTAAAATATCGCATTTACTATGGTGTTTTGGGGTGTGAATCTCACTTGTGTGCGTCACTCGCTTGTGAAATACGTTATACATCGTTGTACTAAGGCAGCACGTTCGCATTTGCTTGACCGATCAACTTGGGGGAAAGAGCGTCCTGTACATACAAAGGAGCCAGTTGAGGCCCAGCAAACAAGGCATCTACAACCACTCTGTCGCAACAAGATTTTACCATGTCATCCTAAATTACTAAATTATAAATTAGAACTATTTCCCTACTTTAAGCATCTACGATAGCTTTCTCTATTTTAGCAGTATTTCTCTTTTCTCCAATAAATGCTTGATTTGTGGGAGATAAGCGCAACTCAGCCATGGAGGCTGAAATGGCAAGTATGAGAGAGGCAAATTCTTTTCAGGGGAAAGGCTGTTAAGGTAAAGCTTGATTACATTTGACAGCGCAACCATGAACATCATTGGATCGCATATCTTGAAGATTAATATCATATGAATCAAGCAGGATAGCTTATAACCTAATGCCTACGATGTATTTTCCCGCTCAGCCCGCTATCAAACTGTTGTCATTGACCAAAATCCTCTGAGACTCTACCTCGTGGAGAGTCTACAAGAGGAAGTTGTTTTAGGTCTGGGTCAACTTTCATCAGTGTCTTTCAGTATTACTTGTTCACCACGCGCAGCATGATATGCCAAATCCTGTACATCGGTTTTCCAACCACTCTTCCGCGCAGGACAGATGGGAAAGCGCTCGGCACTGGTCGCAGCGTAGGATTACGCACTCCTGGGCTTGTTCCTCATCTTCGGCCAAACAAAACACACAGTGGATGTTTTCGAGCTCTTCACTCAAGCTGAGACTCCGGAGCGTCAAGTCTTGGACACCCGCCCAGATATTAGTGACCGACGTCAGGATAGCTGGTCGAGCCGGCGAAACGTGCCATGGAACACTGTTGGTCCGCAGCATTTCGGCAGTGACAAAGGGATTAATTGATTGCACCGGCTCGGGGCTGGTTGAGAGGGGCACCGGCGGGTCTTGTCTGAGCCCGTGAGGTGGTGACCGGTCAGTGCTGTCTGATGCTGGGCGTCGCCTGGAGGCTGGCGATGTCTGACGCTGGCTCGGATGCACAATGGATGGAGATGCAACTCTAGAGTCATGTGGCACTCGCGCCTGGTTGCGGACGGCTGCTTCATACCACTGCTGGCCAACTTGGTCGACCTGTCGTTGTCGATGCCATCTCGCGCAGAGGAAGTCTCTGGCAACACCACAGAGCTTCGCTTGCAAATTTGACAGGTCAAACGGCTCTCTGGCGACAGTGTTCAGCTTTTGATGGCCTATCTTGGTGTCTTCAAGTTTGATCGAGTTTTTGCATGGAGCGCCTTTTTTCGTCATCCCGCAACAGAAGCCAGGACTGCCATTGGGGCTGACTTCTATCTCACAAATAAGAAACGGATTCCAAGGCAGCATGGCGGACATTGAGGTGGTGTACAAAGGCAGAAAATGCTTCGGATGGGAATTGGTGTTGGACAATCTCCGCAGCGTTCCCTCGCCAGCTTTATATGCCATCGCCATAATCTCCTTACCTACGTGGCTGCGTGTCTGCTGGCATGGGACGCCTTCCTTGAAACACTCGATACGTCGAAGAATGTATTCGGTTGCATTATGCACCGGTATAGGCCGATCACTGGCCTGCGAGAAGGGATTGAACTCCAGATCACTGCTGCCCAAATCAGCTGCACTTGTGGCTGTAGATCGCGGTGACCATGCATTGGCAAAAGGATTGGCTATAGTTGTTGGTAGCATAGTCGACAAAATTGCGAGTTGCCTCTATACATTTCGAAGTGCGTGCAGGTAGTGATTTGCTTCAACGCTCATGCGCTAGATGCGAGAAGTGGGTACTAAGATAAATTCGGTCCCCCGGGGCCCTTGACACACTACCAGGAACAAATTTGGCGTTCCCAGGAGCTAGGATCCAGAGATTCTCTAACACCGCCGAAACATTGTTGTCAAGGCTTTGGTGCTGCCGTGTGATTGCTACACACCTCTCAGCAAAGTAACGAGCTACACTCCTAGCTGACCACGGAATTTAGCTGAGGCGAGTATATAAAGCCTCCCCATATCCAACTTTCACATCTCACCTTCATCTACATTGTGATTACCGCCTAGCTCCACCGCTGTCTAACCATGGTCTGTAGCAAGTCTTTGTTGCTGAAGTTAACGATAAGCTAACAAATCATAGCCAAACCTCATATACCTGCCCAACGAGCTTTTGCTGTGGATTGTGTCGCATTTGGACGGCAGTGCATTATTTGCCCTCGCAAAATCATGCAAAAGCCTTCATTCTAGACTGCAACCCAGCATCTGGAAATACAACATCAAATTTCAGAATAGCAATCTGTTGCACCTGGCCGTCAAATACGACAACGTTGGTCTTGCGGAGGTTTTGCTCCAGCACAATGCCAACATCAATGCATTTTACCGAGGCAAAACTCCTTTAATGAGGGCGCTAAAATACTCTTCCGCTGCTGTGCGTGAACTCTTGCTCAATCGTCGAGACCTAGACATCAACATCCAAAATCAAGCGCGCGACAGCGCCCTGTCGTATGCCATCCACTATGGAAATTTCTCCACCGTCAAGAGCATCCTAGAACAACCCAGCGTCAGAGTGGACGTCAAACACAAACACGGCCGAACGGCGCTCCACCTAGCAGTCTTCGCAGGCAGAATAGGGTTCGTGCATCTGCTACTTTCTAGTGGCAGCGACCCTGATCTACGGGATGGTTCAGGCCATTCGCCGCGGGCCTGGGCACGTCGCTTCAATCGTCCCGCGATGAAAATGGTATTTTTTAACGATCCTGACTCCGAAGTATTTCTTGGTACTCAATTATCACAAGATGCTGAGCTACCGCTTCATCAAGCAGTATCCCATGGGTCGATAGAAGCTGTCAAGCGGCTTCTTGGACAAGAGGGTTTGAACTTGGACATCCAGGACTGGAAAGGCTATACGCCGCTCCATCTCGCCATTCAGAGCAAACGCCTGGAAATGGTCAACTTGCTCCTGAGTCACCCCCTTGCCAACGTGGACTGCAAAGATAAAGATGGCAATACGCCGCTTTGGCTGTCTACTTACTCGTCATGCGCCGAGATCACCGAAAGGCTGTTGGCCGAGAAAGACATTAACGTTAATTTTGTTGGAGGCCGTGGGAGATTCGAGATGTCGTCGACATCTCTACACCACGCCGCGACCAGACTGGATACCGTGATCCTACGACAGCTGCTTGCAGTGCCAGGGATCGACCCAAATCTCTGCGTTGCAGGCCACTCTCCAATTTCCGTTGCCGCATATCACGGACGCATGAACACGGTTGCTTGTTTGTTGGGTATGGAGGGCGTGGACATCAATGGAAGGGATTTAATAGATCCGCCAATTTGTCGAGCGGTTGCACATGGCCATCTCGATGCGGTAAGACTTTTAGTGCAGCAAGGCACACGTCTGAACATCAATGAAAGCACGATCGCATGTCACGACACTGCAATCTTCATTGCTGCCCGTGGTGGTGACTTGGAGATGGTCCAGGCACTATTACGCCATGGCCAAATTGATGTCAACATCAGAAACCGATGGTTTGAGGATCCATTGATGTTGGCGGTCAAGACCCACAGCTCAACACAACCAACACCACACTAAAGCGAGGCTAGGGAAAAAAATCCATGACTTCTCGGGATGAAATTGTAGGCCTTTTTCGGTGATTCAACGTTGAATCGCTCACAGATGAGGTATCAGCACAAGAATCATGAGCCTTTGATTGCGGATGGAATATCTCCCACAAAATCTCAATTTAAGAGGGCCGTGAAGGATTCAGCAGTGAGCCAACGTTTCTTGGCCTACTCAGCATCCCTTTTTCTCAACAACACTCGTCTCTCTCACTGAGCTAAAGGCATAAAAATTGTCGCTGCATGTCGCTGCAAATATTTGCGGTAAAAGAAGAAATGGGTTTCAACAGGCCTCAATTAAGAGAGTTGTCCCTCAACGCGTTCTACCAAAAGAGCACTTGCGCAACAGAAGGAGCCGAGAAGCCTATAAATACGTCCTCTACCCCCGGCAATTTGCTCTACTATTCAATCCCTTGACCACGCAAACTCGAGCAGGCTTGTGTCTGAGTCACTTGATAAGTTCTCCCCACCCAGTACTGAATCTCCACTGTACTGACATTTATAGAATACATCGCGGACCAGGAAGTCAGACAATCCCTGTGAGAGATGTGCTCCCAACAGATCCTTTGTGCCATTCACGCCAGCCGATCAATAAAATGACTTTTGGGTTAGCTGGCATGTTATCTAGGCAGCAGAGTATGCTTGATCGCATGAACTCGGGTAGTACGCCCCAAAAATGGCTGTCGCTTTGAGTGCAGTGGTGGATGCTGATACATGGGAGAGGGGCAGGAGATATAAATCGTAGTTACTGACGGGATTATTTACAAGGTTGCGACGGCTCCCAGTTGTAGAAGGAGCCGATCGGATATTCTCAAGCTAACGAAGCCTAAATTGGTTGTCTTTGTTGCGAATCCACTTTGAGTGTCGCGACCGTTCTTGGATGTAGGCATTCTACAGTAGAATAGGTTTGAGTGACTTCAATCGCCGACTGAAGCGATGACTCTGACTACTCAAGGAACATTCTATCGCATCAAGATGTTTAGTTGAGAACACAAATGGTATTTCGAGCTCTCCTCATCAAATGCTTCTACACCTGGTAGGTCTGATCTTGAGCGTATTGCCTGATTATAGCTGAACCAATGGAGGGAAATCCGGTGTTTGCATTCGACCAGCTCAATCGAAATGGAGGCCGTATGCCAACTTCACCGAGTGATCAGCTGGGGACAAATGACGCGGAATTGGAACAATGCAAGTGATACATCTGTCATGTTGGTAAGATGGCAGGAAAACCTCACGCTACGTCGGTGAGACGTTGACCACCACCACTCACCTTCACCGCCCGGCCGTATACCACAACACACATCAACACACATCAACTCGTCAACGTTCATCAACGACCATCAACGGCCATCAACGACCATCAACGACCATCAACACCCTCAACACCCTCGTCAACGTTTATCAACGTTTATCAACGACCACCAACGACCATTAACGACCATCTACGCTCATCAACGCTATCAACACATCCGCGACGCACCAATTTCTCACCATTTTGTTCGCTCTACGCCCTGATGGCAGATGCATTCTATTGCGGCAGGAAGACTAGCCGACCGCAAACCATGAAGACAGGAGGGTTGGGAACACGGCGATCGAGAACGAAGGTTGAATCTTGAATTTACGATTCTGATGATTGGTTTGCATCTATCTAGGGCTCTTTCTATCTCTCCAATGATGCTTCGGAATACGAAGAAGATGAAGATGTTGCGCAGGTCTTTGCTTCTTCGAGTACTCTTGAATACTCGAATACTGGTCCCTAGCACCGCGAAGAGGTGCCTGCACATCGCTAGAGGCCTTGTTAACGCAGCAATCCCCTACGAAGCACATTTGTTGACGTAGAGCTCGTCCTGCGAAGCACCTTTTTACGCTCGCGGGGCTCAGGGCAGCGAGGGAGCACATGTCTTACATCGCTGGGCTCGGAGCAGCGACAGCCGTGGTCACGGAAGCTCTGAAGTCCTTGGTTTCGCAGCACCCCCCCTGCGAGGATTATTGTTGACGCAGAGCCCGTCCTGCGAAGCACACTTGTTGACGCAGAGCCCATCCTGCGAAGCACACTTGATAACGCAGAGCCCGTCCTGCGAAGCACATTTTTACATACACAGGGCTCATTGGCTGTGAGGGAGCGCAAGTCTTACGTCGCTGGGCTCGTGGCAGCGACAGCCGTGGTCACGGAAGCTCTCAAGCCCGCAGGCAAAAGAGGGACACTATGATGCATCAAAGTGTGAGGACCGAAGTCCTGATTTTTTTGGGCTGGGAATCCGGCTCCTTTTATATTTTTTCGGCTACGTCTGGACCAAGGAACCAGTTGCGCAGATGGTAGCGAGAACCACTGTCTCGTTATTGGCGTTGAAGACATCTGAACAACGTTGAAATGGTGTTTGGAGACTTTGTGGCCTACAGACTCAAGTTTCAACCTGGATCCATTCCTTTCAAAAACCTGCGTTGAGTGCGGTGAACTTCATCAACTGTTGAAAAGATTGTGATACCGCAAGAACATGATTCTCACATATTATTGAATTTGCAATTAAATCACTCAACGCGGTGGCACTCTTAATCTGCGCGTTCTAGCCACGGTCACCGTCTCTTTCATGAGGGTTGAAGTGCTTTAACGGACGTTTAAATACTACGTCGGAGACTTTGTGGTCGACAGTCACGCTCGATTGTACCTGTGGTTGGCCTGTTCCGCCAAGAAGTGACCCCCTTGGTTCGACTGGAATCGATAATGTCGAATCCCTACGCTTTCTGCTGTGAACGCTTTCAGAATTTTCTTGGGCTAAAAGTAGATATCACCTAGACAAGATTTCCATGGATCACCAAACGTTCCCAATGAAGTCGGTCAGCGCGCTTAAACTCTAAAGCAGACTTAACTTTTCTGCGGAACTTCCCCCACTCATTCTCTAAAAATTTCCAGTTTCTTTCTCAGGCTCGCACAAAAAAAAAAAAGTCATGGAATCGCCGGATCGTGTCCATCGAAATCCTGATCATGGGCCTCGCAGTTATACTGACCAAGTCCTGAAAATGCTTAAAGACAAAGCTCTAACGGGAGAGAAATTTCGTCCTCAAGATGCGAAGGAAGGCCAATCTGAATCGATTGCCTCCATCCAAGGGAGCCGACGCGGCTGTAGGGTTTCATTCAAACGTGGTCGGGAATCGGAGTCAGTCGATGGTCCGTCCTCAGGGCTGCACCGACATGCGAAATATGCAGCTGAGCAGTAAGCAAACACCTCCAATATTGCTAGTCATCATTGTCGCTTTCTAACGAATAATTTGCAGACCTGCCAACCGAGTGAAGTAAGTGCACCTTTGATGTCTGATGGCAAGAGAGAGTAGGGCTGACAGAAAGATACAGACCAGAGAGCAAGGGCCCCAAGCGCTTACTCAAGAGAAAGACTGCCGTCGATGTTGAAATCCTCAAAGAGGAGATGGAGGATGTTAAGAAGACGGTTGCATCTCTTGAATCGCTCTTGACCGAACGATACAAAAAAAAGCGGGTTTCTTTTGCAGAGGATCTTCACTGAACAACCCAAGCGTGTCGAGAAGTCTGATGCAAATCTCTCCTATGGTATTCGGGTACGGATCTGGAAACAAATCGTGAGTTTTTCGAGTGGAATCGGTATCCAAATGTACTGTAGAAGTGACAATCTGATACGATAAGACAGCTGTATAAGCAGCTTTCGCGGTTCAAGCCCTTGCCGACCATTTTTAGTAACTACCCGTTCCCTAGTCCACTGAAACCTCACGCGTCAGTGGTCAATAAATTTGAGATGTCATCGTTCTCGTGGTGGAGTATGTCAATTCTTGTGGCCCGCGGATAGCCAGCTCAATTGAGTTTCGATGACTGTGGATGGACCAGAAAAGACCACTCTTCATGTCAGTATACTCCGCAGTCCTCTTTTGGGATTGAATGACCTGCGAAGTGGTTCAACAAACCCAGGGTCGGAAAAAGCACGCGAAAGAACACCGGCATTGGTTGTGAATCTCGCGGAGTCATAGAGCTTGGTATAGTTCAGATTACATTGCCTAGTCAATGACAGGAGACCACGGGCATGATCACCCAGATTTGGTGGATTCTCATGTGATCTGCCGGACGATCATGAACCCACCCAGATTGTGGGCCCTTCCACTAACCACATTCAGTGGCCTTGGAACTTTCTCTCCCTTTCAGTCTGCTCTTGGCGGAGAGAAAGTCTAATCGTCAAAGGATTCTACGTCTAATCTAATTTTACCGTATCTGAAGATGGTTCGACGCATGGTTTATTTTTTATTCTTCAATCGCCCTGGGAGGGCGATGGTGCTACTGAAGATAATATCATGAACTATCCATATGCGTGGTGGTTACATGAAACCGACTAGACAGTTCCGTCACAGTAATCTCAGGACAATCACAAATCAAAAATTCTGCATGCTCCACAACACTGGTTCCCATTTGTGGGTTGGAATATGTGCCTTTTGTAACAAGTGCATCATTACTCGATGCGAAGAACCCCGGCGGGCATTGTGACCTAAACCCCTCAGCAAGCCATCCTAGTCGAGTTTATTTCCATGGATTGCTTCGGAACCGGGCAACGAAGATGCTAGCCTTCAGCTATGGAGGGCATTCGAAGTATTTCGGCAAAAATCGGACTTGTTATAGCAGAGGTGTCGAACATGAGCCTAGTCTCCAGGACAATGAAATGAGTTATTTCAGCTACCATGGCTCACGAGCTAGGTTCTCGTGATCGCCACCCCCTCGGCAGATTGCAACGCTACTATCACACTGATGAGACCCTAGATACAAATAGCACCCAACGGACCAATCAAACACCGCGCGTGAATTTAGACAGACGCAGGTACGGTTCCGCAATGCAGATCCCAGCGACGACCCACGGGACAGTAGATCAAGGAGGTTCTATTTGTGGCCCGGAGAAGAATTTGGAAGGATTTGCAAAGGTCCAGACACGATCCACAAACCTAGTCTTGACGGGCCGTCAGATTACGGATGGAACAGGTCTTTGTTGCTTGGGAGGTCGGTTGGGGCAGATGAGGTATTTGGAATATAGCACAGACTTTTGGCAATAGAGATCCGATCCGCGGTCGTGTTCTCCTAGTTGCCCTCGCAAGAGAGTGATTGGTCCTCTGTCGAGTTTTGTTTATTTGGTCAATAGAACGTCCCAGAAGCTGTGTATCTTCTCATGCATCAGCCTTTGCCCCCACGACTATACTTTCCTCGAGCCCAACACTTCCTCTCTCCATCTGCTCGAATTCGATACCAGCCTGGTAACTCTAGCAGACAGCTTATAAAAATTCATGCTAACTTCAGGCCGACCTCGGGGATTATGTAAGTAAACTCTCCGGTTCGTGTACTAAGCCGAGAAACCGATTGGCTTGCGGAAATGGCCGGAGTCGACGTTGTGGGGCCAATTATGTACAGAACCCGAAAGTCTATTTTCAAGCACCTGGCTCATTGTTACCATGACTCTGGCAGTCGATCATGAATATGCAAGTGGTTTTACAATATTCTATACCTTAATAGGTCGGCGAGGTTATGGCGATTATACTTCAACTCCCCTAAGTTTTGCTACTGTAGGGACAGATTAACAATGATCAATCTAGAAGGTGAGTGGAGCAGAAGTCCACAGGTAAGCTATCTGACTAAATTGAAGCTTAAATCCCAATCATTCATGAACAATCACGTTTTTCCCCGACCGAGCGTTTCTGTGGTTCATCAAAAACGATTTGTCCATATGATTTTAATGATCGACGGTCCTGCTCTTGGTTCCACCCTCGTTGTGAGATTAACTTTCTCCTATGTCTTGAGTCCAAGGGTCCTTCCTTCTAGGTGCACTAGAACATGTCATTGTTCAGTCGCTTTGGGAAACTTTGCTTTGCGTCAAACATGAAAGGGCGTGAATGAAAATCAATCGTATGCTTCGCAGCTCTAGAGCTTAGATCACCCTGCTTTCGAGCCACCCAACCAATCAATCGAGACCCTGTACACCACGGAAGCGCGACCCAGACCCAATGGGGGCCTCCAACTAGGCCTGGCCGAGACGCAGTCTCACCTTCTTCAGCTATGCTGGGATGAACTCGGGATCTCCATCTCGAGTGTGGATGCCGATCTCTTTTCCGAAGGTGTCGACAGCCTGAAAGCAATGCACCTCCGCCGCTTGATTCTGCAGCAGTTCAGGTTTGACCCCTGCCACTCTCCAAGTCCAAACTCGGTGTTTGAAATGGGCACTCTCTCGCAGCTAGCCCTCTACATCTGCGCGCTGCAGAGCGGAGATAGCCTCTCGTCGGCCGAAGACAGTATCTTACTGATGGACAACCTGGTCAAGAAATACTCCTCATTTCGGAAACACGTCCCTTGCCCGGAAACTCCACGGAGGACCAAGAGCGTGGTAAGTACATGCAATGGACTCTGGATCATCAATCTGACATGGCAAAGCTGTTGACAGGAGCCACTGGCTCAGTGGGCGCACACGTGCTGTTCGAATTGCTGAACGATGACTCGGTGTCGACTGTATACTGTCTCACGTGGAGGGCATCTCCGTTAAAGGCAGTGCGCGGCAGCCTGCTCGAAAGGGGCCTGTTGCTTTCGCCGGAACAGACATCAAAGGTTGTGGCACTAAATGGCGCACTGGACCGGCCTGACTTTTGTCTGGACCCAGTGGGGAAGACCTTTCACCATATGCTAGACTCTGTGTCTTTAGTCATCCATACTGCATGGCCAGTCAACTTTAACCTCCCCCTCGCTCAATTCGAGCCACACCTCCGGGGACTATACAACCTCATTATGTTTTCACTTTCGGTCCGAAGACTTGAACCTGCGGTCATGTTGTTTTGCTCTTCCATCTCTACGGCGCTGGGGGCCTCCTCGGCCACAATCGAAGAGGAAGCAGTCGATCTCAACAGCGCGCTGATGGGCTACGGTCAGTCCAAGGTGGTGGGAGAAAGGATGGTCAGTCTTGCACGCCGGTCAGGCGCAAGAGCGTACTCTCTCAGAATTGGTCAAGTCTCGGGACATTCGAAGAAAGGCCTGTGGAATGACTCCGAGGCAATTCCTTTGCTGATCCGATCGGCACTGACCCTGCGAGCCCTACCTGAACTACATCAGACCTGTTCGTGGCTTCCTGTGGACAAGTTGGCCACAGTAATACTCGAGTTGGCTGAGTCATGCTCTTCGCCTGAACGCGACGTTTTGCCAAGCCACGCGTCCGACACCTCCGGGATGGCCTATGTGGACGACTCGATCTACAACGTGTGTAACTCGCGCGTGTTTTCTTGGTCGGAGCTGCTGGCGACCCTCCAACGAAGCGGATTTCAATTTCAGGTTTTGCCGTTCGAAGAGTGGCTTCAGTTGCTCCGCGAGAGTGAGGCACGAGGTGAAGAACATATCAACCCGGCAGTCAAACTGATCCATCATTATGAGATGATGCATGGTGTCCAGTCTTCCATTAATCACACTAGGGCGAAAGTGTTTACGATGGACAAGGCTGAAAGAGATAGCGTGACTCTACGCAGCGGCCACTTGAATATTGTGCAAGACGACATCCTGGACTGCTACGCCCGTGACTGGCTTTTGAGGTGGACGGCTTATTAATTTAGGATGCTCGGTACATACTGTAGAAAGTGCCAAATGTATTGTCGGAACGCAGGGAAAAACAGCCAAGACCTGAATTCAGAATTTCAAGTGCCCGTACTTCGATACGATACCCCCTGGTGGGAAACTGAATCACTCTTCCATAGGAGATATTATACCCGCAACGAAGGCTGGTGAACAGGAAAACATAAGCATACATCGGTCGAGAGTTAGGATGTATTTGTTTGATGCAATATGGAGAATCATCACTGGGATAGGGTGCAATCAAACACCCTTCTATGCGACCTCATACGATACACCTGGTGTCCGAGACAATCAGACCACTTGGGACCGTTTCCCCTACTTCTCTCGGCTAAACAGTATAGCTGTCAAAGGATCTTCCCAGTCAGGTACTGATAGTTAGCAGAGCGACGGAATATATAGTGGGTATAGCTACAACTTGGCGCCTCATTTCTGTGTCATGTTGCTGACAACCGTCTACCAGGCTGTCTTGGCCCCTGAATGAGCGCTAGCTTTGCCAATTATCTTCATTGCTCCTGTCATGAAATTGATACAGCTTTATTGTAATATAGACTGCTACTGACTTATTTCCTCCAACAGACTGGCTAGCTCCTCTTCAAGCTGTTTTAGAGCTTTGGCACTTAGAGCCCTCTTTGAAGTATTCAATCTCAAGGCTTATAAAATCCTCGCCCTCGGTAAACTCTATGAGCACGGGATATTTGGCACCCGCCGCTCGCTTCGCCGCGCTCGTAACTGACACGCCCTGTAGATCAAGCCCAGCAGACACTTGGTCCTGCATCCTGTTGTACACCAGCACCACGCCAAACAGCGATTCTTCTTGAACAATACGCCGGATTTGCGGGGAGGGGAGAGCGTGACTCAAAACTGACTTCACTGCCGCACTTGCTTCAGTGACAATGGTGCCCAAGTTACGTGTTCGAGCTGACGGTATACACACGGGCAGTGCGTCCAGGAAAATTCCGTACATGTCCCCCGTGCCTGGCTCTGCGCGATCAATCCACGGGATCGCTATAACGGCAGAGTCGACATTGAAAACACGGCTCCAGGCCACTGCCGTCACCCCTAGAAACAAGCCCAAAGCTGCGGCCGACGCTGGCTTTTTGAGCCTTGCCACTGTGGAATGCGCGGCATCTTGGAGAGTTTTTGGCGGCTGAGGACAACGGTGCACCGGATTGGAGACGTTGCGCAGATGGGATTTCCAAAAGTTTACATCTTCTGTAGTCGGGGGTTCTGTAAGTCGACGATTCTTCCACTGCGCCCAGTCGGCGTATGGTCGAGGGGGTTTCATGACAACATCCGTCCCAGAGAGGAGGCCAGAGTATATTTCGCCCACTTGTCTGAAGAAAAGGGCGACGGAAGTTTGGTCGGTAATGATGTGATGCTGTACGAAGACGACCTGAACAAGTTGGCCGCTTCCCATCATCGCAATTCTTGTGAGCGGTCCAGTTTCGAGGTTGAAAGGCAAGTCTACCAATGCAGACACTATCCTGTCTGAATGAAGCTCCTCGTGCATCACCTCGGGTGTTTTGGGTAAAATCTTTCTCCGAAGCGATGCACCCTGCCTTGCAAAGCATGTCCTGAAAATATCGCTCGCAGACATGACCTTCTCGATTGCCTGCATCAGCAAATTGGTCTTGACATCCCCGGAAAATGTGACAACAAAGGCGACATTGAGGGCTGATGGAGTCGTGGAGCTGTTATGCTTGTGGTATCGCATTTCTTCAAGATAGGAAACCCCGTCGTGAGCGGTTGGCGTGAACAGGTCGAATCCCACACCGCCGTTCCTCTGCTGCCCTGCCGTGTGGGTTTCTATTGCCTTGGCGAGTGCGCGCATCTTTGTATTGTGAATGAAGAGACTCAGGGGGATATTTTGGCCGAGATGTGCGCAGACCTGCCGAGCGACGGTAATCTGGCGCAGAGAGTTGCCACCAATGGCCAGGAAATCATCCTCTGGTCCCAGTCCAGTTGGAGTCTCAAGGCCGATACTTTCAGCCCATTTTTGCCCAATGAGCGATTCTATTGGGGTGAGGGTTTGATTATTTTTCTGAATCTTCGATGCAGTCGTGACCATGGTACCCAAAGCTTTTCGATCCAGCTTTTGGTTCGGAGTGAAAGGCAGACTTGGGAGTGCGAATATGCGTTGTGGTACAGCGTACGTGGGCAACTGTCGACATAGCTTACTTATTAAATCGCCATCCTTTACGGTCTCTGGTACAGCAAAAGCATATATAGCGTCTTGGATAACCATGGCGGTCACACGACTGACACTGGCGTCGGCGTTTCGGATCAAGTGCTCAATCTCATCAAGTTCCACTCGATAGCCTCGAACCTTGACTTGATGATCGACTCTACCCAGAAACTTCAGATCCATAGACGATGTCCAAGCACCGCGATCACCCGTCTTGTACATGCGGTGATTGCGGTCGAAAGGGTCTGGGCCAAATGCTCTCTTGGTGATGGCCTCTGCATCCGTGCCGATGTAGCCCTCCATGACTTGTACACCGGAGATGTAGATCTCGCCAATCACTCCAGCAGGAACCGGGCGTTTATATCTGTCAAGCACGTATGCGCCGACTCGAGGTACCGTCTTTCCGATAGTAACGGGCTTCCCCGGCTCAATCTGGGTCCAGGTCGCGGCAATGGTGCATTCGCAGGGCCCGTAAAAGTTGTACAGAGTTCGACCACCAGCCCAGGAGTCGCATAGCACTTGTGGTACGTCTTCACCAATGAGATAAATTGTGTCGAGGTTCCGAAATTGGTCAGGGGGCAGCGTAGCCAGAAGGGAAGGTGTCGCCATGGTTGCATTCACCCGGCTCAAATGGGCGAGCCCGTCTGCGTCGTCTTTGAGAACCAAGGTTGCTCCATAGCAAAGAGTGCCAAATATTTCCGCAATGCTCACGTCAAATCCTGGTGAGAACATTTGCGCGTGCCGTCTGCCTGGTCGGGCATGTAGTCTGGCCGGCTCAAAAGACAAGTGCGAAAGAGTTGCTCTATGAGTGACCTTGATCCCCTTTGGAGTGCCAGTAGAGCCGGACGTAAACATGACGTAAGCATAATCATCTATGTCTGTTGTGCTTTCCAGCGCCTCGATCCGATTTTCCAATGAGTTGAAATTATGGATAATCTTCTCGGCCAACAAGTGAGCTCCCGGAAGCGATGAGCGAAGCTCGTGACATTTTGAGTTGGGATAGACGCATAGTACTACGCCAGCAGTATGTATCATACTCTTCATCCTCTCACTAGGTAATTTCGTATCCAAAGGGAGGTATATGGCTCCAGCTTTGATAACTGCCAGGGCACAAATCAACCAGTATCTGCTCCCGTCTGCGAGCACAGCCACGACTTGCTTTGGGCCTGCCAGCTCAGAGATGACCCTGGCCACATAATTGCCTATGCAATTCAGCTCAGAGTATGTGTATGATTCGTCGCTGGACTCAATGGCAACAGCATCTGGCCAGCATCTCACACCATGCTCGAACTTCTCCTTTAGACTCCGTGACCCTGAGTAGGGACTGTAGAGCAAAGGCGAGTTTCGAGTCAGGTTGAGACGGTTGAAGGAAGTAAGCATCATGTCCTTGACTGTTTTCAATTGCAAGACGTTTGGATCCAGTAATGCAAGACAAATATTTCGGAAGTGATGGAGAAGTGGAGACATGGAGTCTTTTTGGTAGTCGCCAGGATCGTAAACCACACGCAGGATGATCTCTCCAGCAGCCTGTTGGACTTGAAGCGTGAGTCCAAATTCTGGCCAGTCTCTTTTATTGATGTCCCACTTGGTTTCGGGCTTGCCAGCAACGGAACTGTTCATTGGCAAATCATACTCTAAAAAGAGGGCAGTTTGAAAGAGTCGGGCCATTGTTCCGGGTGCTAACTGCTGGAGCATCGCAGATGCAGACCACTGATGGTCCGCAATCCCGAGCAGGACATCCTTTACACTTTGAAGTGTATCGTACTTGCTGCCAGATTCGGAGACACGGACCGGAAAAGGGCAAGTATTTATTATCGGCCCAACAACCTCGGCAACATTTTCTCGTGGGAAGCTTCGGCCAGAGAAGACGCTGCCGAAAACGACTTCATCCTTGTCTGCGTAGTTGCTAAGTAAGACAGCCCAAGCAGTATGTAAAACTACTGCAGATGAAACTTCGAGCGATTGAGCGCCGACATTGAGCTGCGCCAAGGACAGGCCAGTGCTGATGCTCTCGTCCGCAATAGCTCCGGCCTTTGAGGCTTGGCCGAGCGGGTTCCAAATGTTGAGAGGTGTTCCCTCCGTAACATTCTCGAGTCGATTGGTCCAAAACTTCTCTGCTTTCCCTTGTGCAATTTTTGAGAATGCGCTTAAAGACTGCGAGTATGTCGAGAATTGTTTTGTCGGTGGCTCATGACGATCGTTGTCCATCTGCCGTCTGACTTGGCTCAAAATTTCTCCGACGGACCAACCATCCACCAACGAATGATGAATGAGCCATAACAGAACAGAGGATTTTTCTGGGGACAAAATAAGTCGAAACGCATTCACTGGCGTAAAGATGTTGCCGTCCCTGTTGTTTGACTTGGCCGCCTGCAGTAGTAATTCAGATTCGCGCGCAATATCGTCTGGCATGGTAGCTTTCGTTGAAAATGCCGTCTTCCAGTCATGCACATATGTTGTTGAGATCGTGAAACTCTCGTTTGCCGGCTCGAAACTGGAGCGAAATAACTCATAATCTGCCAAAACCAACTCCCATGCCTTACTCAGGACATCTCCATCAATGTCGTTCTGAGATGCATGTAGTGATATCGTTACAAGCATATACCCGGTTAACGGCTCTTTTAATGATGATCTGATGATTCCTTTCTGGACATCTGTCATGGCAAATGAAGCCTTTGAGGATTCATTGTGGCTCGGCTTCAAGCTAGAAACGCCAACATTGGGGACCAAATCCAATACACCATCAGCATCCTCGATGACTTCTAATACTTTGGAAACTTTCACGAGGCTGGGTAGTGAGAAAAGTGCGATTGTTGACGCTGTCAGCCCTTTTTGTCGCAAAATCGAAAGCAGCTTGATTCCAAGCAGCGAGTTTCCGCCTAATTCAGTGAAGGACCTATTCACATCCACAAACGTACTTGGGATTTCAAGACATTGCCCAACGGCTTCTTCGAGGACCAGTAGAATGCCCGTAGATGTGGATTGGATCGGTGGCGAACGTATTTTCTTCAGACTCAGCTCCTGGAGTAGCGACCTGTGATCGATTTTTCCGTTTGTGGTTTGTGGAAGCTCATCAAGGGAGTATACTTCGTCCGGTACTATAAACGAATCAAACTCTGAGCGCATGTTTTGTCGTAACCGTGTCCCATCAAGTGACGCTGGTGTTATAAAAGCGACCAGGCGCTGAAGGTGCATGACGGCGGCGGCTGACTCGACTCCAGGCTGGGAGCAGATCGCAGGGACAACTTCGGCTTCCAGATTGACCAAAAAGCCTCGGTTCTTGACCATTTGATCTTTCCGACCGAGGAATATTAGCCCGTCCTCTGTCCGCTTGGCCAAGTCGCCAGTCAAGTATAGTCGATTGCCGTGCCAGTGGATGAACTTTTCGTCCGTCTTCTGCGGATCTTTGTAGTAGCCAAGGGCTAAGACCGCTGATCCCATGACGCCAATCTCCCCTTCATCGCTCTCTTCCAAGTTGTGGTTTAGCAAGACCAGCTTGCTATTTCTGACTGGTGTACCGAGAGTAATGGGACGCCCTGGACGTAGTTCTCCCATGGTCAAGGAAATGGTAGTTTCAGTAGGGCCGTAGCCATTCCACAGCTGGCGATTAGGGGCTGACCATTTCTTTATAAGACTCGGCGGTGAAGATTCACCCCCGATAAATAATGTGCGAATGTTCGAATACGTCGATGGATCTGCGATGGCTGAGAGCAGCGCGGGAGTGGCTGGTAGAATCGTACAGTTCTTCGCGTCGTCTATGAAGGAGGATGTTTCGGAGAATAATAAACGGCCACCATTGCATATTGTGTTGAATAGAGCACCATAAAAGACTGTGAGCGTGTGGCTTTGGTCAGATGTGCAACAGTCAGTTCGTGGAGATGGAGCCATCTACTCACTATCGAAGGCGATGGAGAACAGCGCCAGGGTTGTGTCTCCAGGACGTACGCCGAAATTTATCGGCGCATCCTCATGCCCCGGGGCGACGCAATTCAGAAGAGTTTCATGTGCGACGCACACTCCTTTCGGCGTGCTGGTGGTGCCCGAGGTGAATATTATGTACGCCATAGAACGAGGCGCAAGGCATCGTTGACGAGGCTGTGTTGGCGTGGCCGTTGTGCGAGCGGCCCGGATAGCATCTCCGAGCTCGACACCTTGAATCATGGATACTCCATAATTTTCGTCGCCGGTGGCAATTACTATTTTGAAGTCGAGCCGAGCCAGCACCGCGTCGATGCGCGCGCGGCTCCAGGTGCCGGCCTCGATGGGGACAAAAGCGGCGCCGACTTTGAGAATGGCAAGGACACACACAGGCAGCTCCAAGCATCTCGACGAAATGACGGGGACAATATCCCCCGAGACGACACCGCGGCGCTGTATCAGCTCAGCGACGGCGTCCGATTCACGATCAAGCGCTGAATAGTTCAGATTCACGCCTGCTTTGGAAACTGCGATTCCGCTCGGCTGCTGCCGAGCCTGTTCCAGGAAAAGATCCAGGACGGATGAGGGCTTCGCTATCATATTGTGATGTTGTTGGTGAAATTGGGCTTTGTGTGCTTGTCCGAAACGGTGTCATTAGAGAGATTGAGCTATGAGACAAAATCGAGCTGTCCGGGGTTATAACAGATGGATAGAATAACAGAGAAGGGGGCTACTTTGAAAGCTGGAGGTCATTGCCATTGCCTTGCTTGTTGAGAGTTTATTTGCTTTTTGGCCAAGTCACCTACCTACCTACATCTAGGGTGCATGCTTGGTGGGCACGGCCTCTTCCATTTCCACGTTGCCAGGTGCATTATTAACAACATTGACAGCGGAGTGGTGGAATGCGCCGACGAAAGCATAAGTATCCACAAAATTAGCAAATATTCGCATATTTATTAGTAAGTGCGTGTACTATTAAAATCAAGAGCATTGGAATAAAAATACCACTAAATATTAGTATCCTATAGGGCGTTGGATGTGCGTAAATAGCTTTATATTTGAAGAAGCAAAGTGAGACTTGGAGCTTGAGGAGTGGTTAGTTGCAGTCCAGTGCGCGTTTTAGGAGTACTTGGCGTGCCTAATAAATTACTAGGTAACAATAGTGCCTCCATAAATAACCGCTAGACGCACTAGTCAGCTAGCGCATCACAAAGACTTTTTGTGCCCACCTCTGTACTAATTCCGTGGATATTTCCCCCATGCCAGGGGTTGTTAGCGTGGTAGTTTCGTCACATACTTGAGGCCACGGTCGTCCATTCGCCGTCATGCTCTGACTAGTACCAGTACAGCCGTTCTCGAAATCGGTTTGACAATATACACTGAATAACTCTTCTCTGGACCCACCGCCAAGACTTTAGCTCGGATAAAATATTCAGCAAGCCGCAATAAAAAAGATGGGTTAAAGGGAAGTAGTTCTTTAGAGACCTGTATTCTGCTATTTTTACGTACATTCCCCATAGACCCTCTACCTTGCATCCCCTTCGATCCTCATCCGCATCCTTCACGGGGCACAGCCAGTTCCGCAAGTCAATACCAGTTTGCACCTTAAGCCTACTTCCATAGCGGCCTTGAAGACTCCATCCTCGATAGCCATCTTCAAAATCCTATTCTCTCAGTAGACCGACACGCGCGTCCGTCCTCTCGAGCCATATAGAAAGTGTCGTATCTGCAGTCCGCCCACCCAGTCTTCCGTCGGATTGTCAAATCCATTTCGCGCTACCTTGTAAGATCTCTCTGACAAGGCCGACCGTGTCTCGCAGGAGTTTGCCCAGTTGTATCCTCTCTGTACCCAGAACAGCCAAGCAACACAGTGTTGCCCCTCCTACTAACCAAAGTACCTCGTCGTTCTCTGTGTGGATTCAAGCATGCCGGGTTGTGCCGTGTCTTCGTGGTTTTGCTTTTGACTCTGTCGTTCGTGTATCCTCAGACCCAGCGATATCCTCCTTTCAACAGAGCAGCCCGAGAGCACCCCAAGGGTGTCCTATCCCACGACCCTAGTGTCCGCTGATTGTCGGATCGGTTTCGCAGTCGTGTGTCGGGTGGTTTTCAAAGTGTTCCCTTGTCGCCTGTGCGTGGGGTCAGGGCCCCTGACCCCTGAGCTCTCGCTCCCGCCGTAGCCCTAGCCAGCGGACAGTGCTGGCCAGTGGTGACTCTTCTTAGCTCTGCAAATACCTCCCAGGCAAGGCATTCACAGGTTCCCAGCCGGCACCACGGGGAGGTGAGAGTCGTCGCCAGCCTCGAGAATGACCAGTCGTTCTCGAAATCGGCTTGACAGATACACTCTTCGCACTCTTTTCTGGCCCCACCGCCAAGGCCTTAGTGCAGATCAATTATTGAGCGGGCCGCATCAAATTGATGCATATCGTAAAAGTCACCTAGCAGAAAGTCCAGGATTCAGTTGTTAGGCAACCTCCCACATGATTTACAGAGCCCCACTAAAGAACTCCACGGAAATTCAATTTATTCTCGTAAGAGTTCCGTAATTTATATACCTGGATACAGTATCATACTTGGTGCCTTTTATGATGTCCAACAATTTGATGAGGCCCGCTCAATAATTGATCTGCGCTAAGGCCTTGGCGGTGGGGCTAGAAAGAATGAAGAAGAGTGTATCTGTCAAGCCAATTTCGAGTTCAAGACCACATACTATACCTATTCCGCTTTCAGCGCGCCGTCAACTAGGTCATCGCAATTCTTGTCATAACAGATACAAGTCTTGCAACAAGCCGTGCACTTACGACACCAGACTACGACCTTTGCTTCCAGCCATGGCGACATCTAAAGCTGCCCTTTGCTCCGAAAAGCATACCGGCGGATACGACGAAGCGCGGCACCCGGTCGACCACGAGAGGAACGCCTCCTGGCTTCTCCCTTACATCCAGCTCTCGCGCCTGAACCCTCCGATCTCGTGGTTCCTCGTCTTCCTCCCGGAGATATTCGGCGTCTTACACGCCGCCGCGGCTCTCAGGAGTCCGGGGAGAGATGTACTACGTGTGGCCGCCGTGATTCTCGTCCACAGCTTCTTCGTCAGCAACGCGGGCGTCGCGTGGAACGACCTCGTCGACGCGGACATTGACGCAAAAGTCGAGCGCACAAAGAACAGGCCCATCGCAAGGGGCGCCATAAGCTGGACGGCGGCATTCGTCTTTGTCTGCTCGCAGGTCGCCTTTGCTGGCATTTGCCTGATGCCAGTGCCGCGTGCTGCGGTGGTTGCGATGGGTCCGATCGTGGTGTCTACGGGGTACTATCCCTTTGCGAAGCGACATATGCCGGCGCCGCAGCTGGTGATTGCCTTTTGCATGAGCTGGGCTGTCATGTTTGGGCGCCTGGCGATGGGACGCGACGACGACGGGGGTCACTGGATGAACGACAAGCCCGTGGTCTACCTGATGGCGGCGACGGCGGTGTGGACGGTTCTGTGCGACACCGTCTACGCACACCAGGACCTGGCCGACGACTGCAAGGTCGGGGTGAGGGGCCTGGCGGTGCTTGTGCAGGGATACGCAAAATGCTCCTTGTGGCTGCTTCTGGTCGCGATGGTTACGCTGCTGTACTATTCCGGCGCTCACGACGGCGTGGCGTATCACGTCTTTAGTGTAGGAGGATGCGCTGTCTACACGGCCACGATGCTCGCGCTGGTGGATTTGAAGGATCCGGCGAGTTGTGGAAAATGGGCGGGCTCGTCGTTTGGCTTCATTGGCTTTCTGATTGCGAGCGGGCTACTGACCCAGTATCTGGCGACCTAGTCGGATGACGACCCGGCGAGATACTGCCCATCGATGACCAGAAATGAGGAAACAGCTTGGACAGCCTTCGCAGCGACCGGGTGGGTGGATGGACCGCGAGCCGCCCGGGCAAGGGTAACTAGTCGTCCATGCAAGACAAGGGGCCGCTTGGGATGTAGACGGTCTTGGAAAACGGTGGACCCCTGTCTAACAATGTAATTAAATAAGCTTCTTCTTCGACTAGACTCGGCCGCATTGGTGCCGATTTTTGACGGCAAATAGAATAAAACGTGTGCCGCGCATTGCGCCGTATAACAATAGTCTCCTGTGCGGAAGTTATGCCGCGCTCGCATCCCTTAAACTTAATGACCTAGGGCGGTTAGCTGAAGAAGGGCAACTGACTAGTGCGCTGAGTTTATCGGCTGGATCGCAAGCTTGGCTTTCCCGAGTACGGAGGTGCGTATACGCACGGCTCCGGAATATATGTAGGGGCCGGTTAGCTGATTTCTCGTGATTATAGCGGTCTTTGGTTAACGTAATTCACTAGTGAGCTGCGCAGCCCAGAGCACATAGTAAAACCGATAAATTACAACATGATATTTCAACAACCAACGCTTTTATTTAATTTCATTACTCGCTGATAGCGATTGATAAGCATTTTTGGTATCATGTATCAATTTTGAATAAATCGAGAACTTGCATTGTTATAGTAGCGAAAAATACATCGCTGAACTCCAGAAATATATATATCTCAGTCACTAATTTATTAAATTCCCCTAAACTCTAACAAGTGGCTAGACATCACATAAAAAGCATTAGCCTATGAGGAAAAGCTCATATAGACAACCGTTGTTGAAATATCATGTTGTAATTTATCGCTTTTACTATGTGTTCTAGGCTGCGCAGCTCACTAGTGGTGCGCAGCTCACTAGTGAATTACGTTACTGAGTCAATTACGTCTTACTTAATTGCGTCAGTTATTACTTTTGGCCGGCCTAAGCAGGGGGCATCAGCAATATGATGAGCTTAATATAAGGGCTAACTGCAGGATTATATCCGCGCTCAATGGCATGTTGAATAATCAAACAGACGCTTCTTTTGGGAATATTAAAGATATTTGCAACTTTCAAAGGCGTAAGATGATCCAATTTAATCAAGGAGAGCACCGAGGCGCGAGTTTCATAAGAATAAGGCATATTGGTATGAAAGCGAGGCAGCTGCACACACGCAGTGCCAGTACATCAGGTCGTCCTATCTCAGGCTTATAATTAGTGAGATTTTCATAATTTGTGGTCAGAATAGGGGTAAACCAAGAAAAATCGCCAGGGAGCGGTGTAGATAGGGGGTTTACGGGTGTCAAAATCGCTTTAAATTTCAAAAGCAATATGGTGAGATTCTCAGGAAATTGTGCCTCTTCTGGTGTTTGAGTGGGGATCACTACTTAGAAAGCCGGGTACAGGTTCGAATGGCCTAGCGTCTCAATAATACGGCACTAGGACTCGCTAGTGCTTATGAGGTGGGCAGAGACTTTTGACGCGCACCTCCGTATGGATATATGGCGTTGCAAAGGTGCTACCGCCAGACCAAGCAAGCTGTTTCGTCAGTGATGGGGAAGACGGAATTGATCGCCCAAACTTTGAATGAGCCCTGTGGTGCTCTGTCCCCACGGTGCTTTGTCCCTGCAAATGTGTTGTCCCTTGCAGTGCATGGAGCATTAAGTTATCTCGCAACTAATATTAGGTATACCCGAAAGGGGCTGAAGAGTCCATCTGAGTAATTGCATCATCTCATATATAAAACAGGAAAGGTACACTATCATGAGGGCAACTAAATGCAACAACCACGGATTGGTGATCGTTGAGCCACCATGACAGCAGTGATGAATGGATATCTGGACCGGGTTCCGCGATTCAAGCATCTAAGAATTTCGATATCCGATAAACGCACTCGAGAATGCTACTCATCCATCCATGATGCAATAAGCAACCTTGGGCGAGCAGTACAGCTGGGCCAGCATCGCCGGCTGATTGACGCCCTGGACGAGACCTTCAGTGCCGAGACACTCGAGGCGATTGCCGTGGAATCTTCCACAAATAAGGAGCTGTGCGCTGCGCTCAGTGTGTACCTGACTACTCTTGAGCAAACGTATGCTTGGCCGAGGCGTGGTACGGTCGCGACACCGCGGGCTCTTTGTGATCATAAACTCATCGTTCAAGTCTTGTATCATGAAGATCTTGCAGCAGTCCTGTCCCAAAGACGCGGGCTGGCCACCGAGACACGCGGGAACCCCGTTCCATTGTCAGGTTTGGCGTTGGCTATGGCGAACGAGCTGCTCCAGCATGCGGAAGAAGCAAGAACAAAAAGCATTCCTCTGCCACAGGCGGTACAAGACCAAGTCAATATGCTGTTCCGCAACTGCAGCCAGGACTGGTACTCGCAGGGCGATTATCGACACGCCGGATCCCACGAACAATTTGGAAGACTGCACGAGGTGATACGGACCAACGGCACGCAACGCTCAGTGCAGGAAATATTCCAGGACAATGGGGGCATCGGGTATCTACATACGATACACGCTCTCCTCCACGACATGCCCGGCGCGACCGGCGGGGTCGTCCGCGCCCTGCAACAACTTCAGACGAGTGTTTCATTGGCGGGAGAAGAGCTGTTTGGCATGATGATTGACGAAGTCATCTGGGGCCAAACGTTTGCCAAGTTCTCCAAGCCAGTTGGCTACGCATCGCTCGGCGCTGGCGGCGCTGACTGCCCCATGTTTCGAATGCTCGATGCCCTCTGCGGAAGACACGACCCCACGGCCGCCGACGCGCTCCTAGAAGAACTAACGATGCGGTCGCGGAATTTCCCTCCCAACATTCGGTCCCTGATCCACGATGTTGCATCTGCACCGTCGCTTCGGGCTCTGGCATCGTCGAGCAGCGCCAGCCCGGAGCTGCGCCATTCATTTGCGGTCTTCCAGCAGCTGATGTACAGCTTATATGAGATGCACCGGAAGAAGGCGCTGAGGATTGTGCTCGCTTTGCGGGCGGGCCAGCTGTATACCTCCTCGGGAACGGAAAAGGCAGCGTCCCCGGAACGCCAGCTCGCGGCGACGCTGCAGTCCGCGATGGACGTGCGGTTCGGCACCGACGCACTTAGCCGGACAATACCTGCCTACGGTAGGGTTGTCTCCCGCATACTAAGTTCTACGGGTCATGTCGAATCTGCCAGAATTCGTTTCAGATTCGATACGCCAATCGTCGTAGGCGCAGGTGACGCAGTCATCATCACTCCTGTGGTTGGCGGCATCAGAGAGTCGAGAACGTATTCTGTTACCAGATTCAGCCCCTCCACTGACAATGGATGCAATGAACATGTTGTTTTATCTCCAACTACTTCTGTTGAAATTTGCTGCCGCAACATGGGGGCTGTTTCGTCATTTCTGTGCTCGCAACACGGCGACTGTACCGTGCGGCTGGCACTTCAACCGAACCCTCACTTCCGCATATCAGGCAACGAGAGCGCCAAAGAGAGCACCTTGTTTATTGCACAAAATGGCGGCGTGGGACTGTTTTGCGCGTGGCTCTCGAGACAAGCGAGACTGGTTGGAAGATACATGCTGCTCGTGGGCGTGAGGCGACTTGATGAACTGTTGTATGCGTCGGACATTTACGATTGCGCCGAGAAATTCGGCAATCAGCTCCAAGTTATATTTTGTCTCTCTCAACCAAACTGTGGCGATGTGCAGCACGTCAAGTCTAGAGGTGTTTGGCCCTTTGCTGGTAGGGTTGTCAAGTTCCTTGCCAGCGAACCTCTGCCGCCAGCTAGAGCGACATATGTTTGTGGCTCAGCAGAGTTTGGTATCGTCGTTGCCAAGGAGATCAAAGGAGCGCGTTTGGCCAAGAAGAGTATCCTCAGCTCTCGACTCTCACCGATTGTTACCTCAAAGATGCCCAGCTTGCGTCTTCACGTTGCTTCCTCCTCGCGGGCGGCGCCGAAGCGCAAGACGACACTTCGTCCCATTTCACGGTGGGAACTGGCGCGCCACAATGCACCAGGCGATATCTGGATATCGTTGAACGGGGTCATTTTGGACATTTCTCTGTTGTCGACTTTTCACCCTGGAGGAGAAAAGACTTTGATGTGCCGCGCAGGTCTCGAAGCAGACGACATGTTCAACTCGGTCCACGCAGGAAGTTTCGAAGTAAAATCCCTCCTGAACGAACTACAAGTGGGCTACCCCCAAGATGAAGCTCCTGGTGAGAATGGCCTAGTCTATCAATGCCTGGACGCCATTGTTCAGATTCAAAACGACCTGACCAACTCTACACGCTTTGAGGAGCGACCGACGGGCTCCATCCACCAACTACCACGGGTACCCCCGACAGAAGTGATTCAGGGCTCATGGATCCAGTTCACAGCGTCGTGGGTGGCAATGCTCGGCAAGCTGTCGCTATGCGAAGAGATGACCCAGGCGCTGTGCGGCGTCATGGACGACTGGTTTGCGTCCATGGCCCAGAAGCAGCGAGCAGTGTATGATTCGGGCTTTTACGACGTGAAGCACTGTGCGGTAGAAATTAAACGGCTATTTAACGCTCACGAGGAAGCAGCTACTGCAATGCATGGAGTATTGGATACCTTGAAACACGGCTTGAGGTGGGTGCGTCATGACGAGCTGCCCAAGATGATGGCGATGGCGACGCAGGAGATTATTCAGCAGACAAAGGAGAGAACTCAATAGTGCAGTGGATGCCACTTTTGCCTTGAGAAAGTTATATAGATTTTAAACGTTTACTAGTCAATGCTAACGGCTGGGCAATGTTCAAGTATACAATGCGATTGACGCGCAGTAAAGTACGGCCGGCCCTGGTGTAGCGGCACGGGCTGGTTACAGACCGCTGGTACTGTCAATATCGCTGCCTCGGTTAGTATTGCGTAGTGATTTATAGGAGGAAAAGGTCTGATTTAAGCAATAAATAGGAAATTCAGTTAGTTTTGCTATCTTGGGAGTCGAAAGGCTGAAAATGTGGGGTAGCCTATCTACGTGTCGAACTGCGGGATCTTGGCACTGCTTAATAAGACGGCAAAAATGGTGCAAATTGGGGGTAAAAATATGTGTCAAATTGATTCAATCTATGAGCATGAGATTCTAATATTACATGAGGATTTATCACACTGCTTAGCCAAAAAGAAGCATTTCAACTAGTCAACTCAACCGACATATTGTGTACTAACAGGAAAGCTGACCAATTACATAACTTGTTCTTACAGTACGTTGAGCTCAAATCATATAATTATCGTCCTATTTATCGTCGGCAAGATAAAGCATGATGATGTAGCATACTGTGACGGCGATGCTTAAGCTCCATCCAGTCAAAGCAAGTCGCAGAGAGTCTTGCGGTGCGAAAAGAACGAAAATAGACATGTTAATAAAGCCCATCTTACTAGCTTCATAGCATCCACTAGGCCAAAATGGTCGGTCAGCTGTATGTTTAACAATATAGCTTCTAGGAATGGGCTCTTACTTCAACAATATCATGAATTCGAGGATGTGATGGTTTCGGTACTGGGGGCTTAAAAATAGCTTAATTGAGAAAGAAAATACAACGCACACCACTGTTGCTATCGTGGCAGCTGTGAACTGACTGATGCCGGTAACCCGGCGGCTCGGATCGTAGTGCCCATGGAAGTAGTAAAAAGCTGGGGGGTTAACCTCGGGGCTGATTGTTAATGGTTAGAGAATCTCGATACCTGGTAGATAAAAGAAAAGGGCATATGTAACTGCTTAGACGCAGTGCATATTTCCATATCATGTCGCTCATTATGGTGCTTGAGAGCGAGATCCATCGCGTCATCATTTTCCAAAACATAAGTAGGTAGGGGGTCGCGGGGGAGGTGGATGTTGTCAAAGTTTGAATGCTCTTTGAGGTTGTCTTGCCCCAAGTTGTTTGTGGGGAGATGGCTGCTGGGGGGTTTAATGTTTCAAAAATAGCGCGTATATATACATGAACGTAAATGTAGAGCGAAAATCGTAGATGTCGCGCTGCGAGGTAATAAAATGTTCCGTTTGTTTTGAAGGGAAGTTTATAGTCCTATAATACAAAAACAATTTAATCTCCCCGGCGTTTTTTGGCTCTTCCATGCTTCCTGATTTCGATCAACACCTTCTTCCACTTGTGCTTAGTCTTTTCTTGATCCGCCTTTTCGTCCAATTTGTACAGTATTCCTTTCGCTTCATTTCTTTCACCTGGGTGGAAGATATGATACCGGTGATCTGTATATGACGGCGATAATTGTCATATCTGGCGTGGCGCGCTCCCATAATAGCCTGGGTACGATCGAATTCCCGCTGTAGCTGGAGGGCTAATACAGCCTGCGCTTCCAGCGCCCTTTGCAAGCTTTTCTAACCCGTCCTTGAAACGCTGAGTGGTAGGATCGTACTGACTGAGACGAGAGCTAATTCTTCGAATTCTCTCAGCTGTTTTTGGAGTGCTGAATTCCGTGATTTGAGAGCCAGTTGACGGGGTATCCAGCCGGGGTAAATTGTCATGATATGGATCGTCCGACTCCATTTCATCAGTAATAAGCTTGGAATTGATAGGCCAGAGGCCTGTCAATTTAAAATCAAGCTTAATTGTATGCGGCCGGAAGGTTTTTCGTCTGATCTCGGCGATACAATGTAGGAATTCATCCTTTGAGAATTTGCGGCATCCAGTCATTGTAGCCGCTTCAACAGCCTCACTATGCCAGTGTTTATAGACGCTAAACACTCCTACATCGAGAGGCTGTAGTATATGGCTGGTATGTGAGAGTAAGAAGAATAAAATGAGATTATTCTTCTCACAAAATTCAATGAATTGGCGTGTTAAATGGGAGCCAAAACGGTCGCATAACACCAGCCGTTTTCCACCAAGCGTACGATTAATCGTCCACTTATGGAATAGCTGAATCCATTGATATGCCAATTGATCATTAATATAACCGGTGTCAGTTACCGCTATATGCTCATCTTCTTTGACATTGTCAAACCAGCGTAGTAATGCCTGCTTTCCACTTAAAATAATAAGTGGTGGACAGGTAAAACCATCAGCAGAAACAGCCTCTAAAACAGTGATAGATTCTCGATTGGTGACAGATCCATTGAATAGCTTCTTTTTTTGGCTCTCTTGTGATAATAAATTGATCCCGTCCGACTCCAATTTGAAAGCCAGTTTCGCCAAAATTGTAGATGTCTTGTTGGCATATACCATGCTCAGTCACCACACGTTGATAGTCTTGAAACCACCTTTCCACCACAGTTTTATCAAGTGCAGAAGCTCTCTCGACGTCAAGAGCTCGCCGGCGTCGTATATAGTACTCGGGATGCCGTTTCATAAAACGTTTTAGCCACTGGTCGCCGGTCTGGGGGGGTTTTGTGGCCGAATCGGTATGGTTATCTTAGAGAATTGAATTGGCTGCAATAGCAATTTGACGACGATTTATCGATGCTCCCACGGAGTCAAAGTAATCGATATATTCACATAGAGCCTTCTCCTGTCCAGGACTTAGTTTCCGACCTTTGGGTTGACGCTGAAAAAGTGATTTTCCACCTAACCACCGGCGTCGTAGTCGTCCAATTGGAACCGCGAATTCTCGTGCAGTTTTCGAGATATTAGGTTTAGATTGGTCAAAGAGAGAGTCGATGGCTTTAAGAATCAGATCCTCTATATCTCTATTGTCTTTAGGCATGGTGGGTGGGGTGGTTAACAATTCAAGAGAAAGTGGTAGGATTTAAAAAAAATTGTTATTTAGATGATCCTGTTCATGTGGGTGAAGGACCCTCGCTTGCGAGGGTCCGTATTTTTGGTAAAAAAAAGAGGGGCCGGTTAGTAGGTTTGAGTGACTTCAATCGCCAACCGAAGCGATGATCTGGCTACGCAAGGAACAGTCCATCGCATCGCGATGCTCAGTTGAGACAACAAATTGTATTTCGAGTGCTTCTCATCAAATGCTTCTACACCTGGTAGGACTGACCTTGAGTGTATTGCCTGTTTTAGCTGAACCGAAGGAAATCCGGTGTTTGCATTCACCAGGTCAATCAAATTGGAGACTGTATGCGAACTTCACCGAGTGACCACCAGGGAACAAGAAATAACGCAGAATTGAAACAACAATGAAACTGATATCTCTGTCATGTGGGTGAGATGGCAAGAAAGAGCTCGCGCGAAGGCCGTGAGACGTTGACCACTCAACTTCACCGCCCGGCCGTGTACCACATCAACACCCTCGTCAACTGTTAATGTTCATCAACGTTCATTAACGACCATCAACGCTCATCAACGTTTATCAACGTTCATCGACGTTCATCAACGCTCATCAACGCTCATCAACGTTCACCAATGTTCATCAACGTTCGTCAACGTTCATCAACGACCATCACCGTTCATTAATGACCATCAACGCTCATCAACGCTCGTCAACACATCTGCGACGCACCAAAATACTCACCATTTCGTTCGCTCTACGCCCTGATGGCAAATGCACTCTATTGCGGCAGGAAGACTAGCCGACCGCAAACCATGAAGACAGGAGGGTTGGGAACACGGCGGGCGATAACGAAGGTTGAATCTTGAATTTACGATTCTGATATTGGTTTGCTTCTATCTAGGGCTCAATTTATTTCTCCAATGATGATCCTTTGAAATACGAAATACATCATCAAGATGTTGCGCAGATCTTTGCTTCTTCGAGTACTCTTGAATACTCGAATACTGGTCCCTAGCACCGCGAAGAGGTGCCTGCACATCGCTAGAGGCCTTGTTCACGCAGCAATCCCCTACGAAGCACATTTGTTGACGCAGAGCTCGTCCTGCGAAGCACATTTTTACACTCGCGGGGCTCAGGGCAACGAGGGAGCACATTTTTACACTCGCGGGGCTCAGGGCAGCGAGGGAGCACATTTTTACACTCGCGGGGCTCAGGGCAACGAGGGAGCACATTTTTACACTCGCGGGGCTCGGGGCAGCGAGGGAGCACATTTTTACACTCGCGGGGCTCAGGGCAACGAGGGAGCACATTTTTACACTCGCGGGGCTCAGGGCAACGAGGGAGCACATGTCTTACATCGCGGGGCTCGGAGCAGCGACAGCCGTGGTCACGGAAGCTCTCAAGCCCGCAGGCAAAAGAGGGACACTATGATGCATCAAAGTGTGAGGACCGAAGTCCTGATTTTTTTGGGCTGGGAATCCGGCTCCTTTTATATTTTTTCGGCTACGTCTCTACCAAGGAACCAGTTGCGCAGATAGTAGCGAGAATCGCTGTCTCGTTGATAGGCGTTGAAGCGAGATAAACGACGTTGAACTGGTGTTTGGAGTCTTTGTGGCCTACAGACTCAAGTTTCGACCTGGATTCATTGCTTTCAAAAACCTGCGTTGAGTGTGGTGAACCACTTTCTTCACCTGTTGAGAAGAAAGTAACGCCGCAAAAATATGATTCCTACATATCATTGAAATTGCAATTAAATCGCTCAACGCGGTGGCACTCTACATCTGCCCGTTTTAGCCACGGTCACCGTCTCTTTCATGAGGGTTGAAGTGCTTCAACAGATGCCGAATAATGGGTTGGAGACTTTGTGGCAGACAGTCACATTTGATTGTACCGGTTGTTGGCCTCAAGGAGTGCCTCCCATTGATCCCACTAGAATTTTGTCTATCTCCTAGCCCCGCACTGCTCGAACGGTACTTATTTTCTGTTTCTCGCAGC